CTGGACTGAATTGCAATTACAATTTATATCTGCAACCGTTACTTTCTGTTGCCATAAATAGCTTTTTTTGGTTCATATTTATGTTATCTTTACGCACAACTACTTTAAGGTTTCATAAACTTTTTAAATTTTCTAACGCTACATTCGAGTCCAGTAGATTTATTTTATTTATGTTTACTAACACTGAGTTGAGTTTGATAACATAGTTTCGTTATGTTGGTTTATTTAAGCAAAAGTTATAGCACATGTGTAAAGAAACCGACCGGAGGCAAAGCTTCATCATACAACCGCGCTATGATTTGTACCTTTGATTTTTTTTTCATTTATTTATCATATGAACAAGCGTTACACATATTTGTAGTGATAGCATTTAAAAAAAACCACTAAGGTTTATTTATATTTATATACATGTATATAATCAAAGATCTGTACACTGCTACATACTCGAGGCGCTGTGTGCGTGAGTGCTAGAGGCTCGTGACGCACAGAGATAAACTGCTTTAAACCGGCTCGGTCCATAGATAATCACTATATACCGGCCAGTGCTCAAACTCGGGGTGTACACGACGCGCATCGAGCTTGAAATGAAAATGAAATGCTTTCTTTTTGCGCCCGACGCAATTGGAAAGGGCTACCCTTTATGTAGGGAGGCGGAAACTGCATTACGCATACCACGATAGCCGGTCTATCGTGGTTATGAGGGACTCACTGCCTACCGGGGGGAACCTAAGTGATACCCTCTAAAAACCGCCTTTGGGGACTGGCAACTGGCTGTTTAAGCTTCTTATGCCGTATCGAGAGAGGTGAAGAGTGCACGCCTTGCAATACATAACGCAGTGTTGGTACCGACTTTGTTATATGGCAGCGAAACCTGGGTATGCCAGAAGAACCATAAAAGCAAGTTGAATGCAGTGGAGATGCGATCTCTTCGTAAAATGTGTGGCGTTACCATAGCCGATCGAAAGCGAAACGAAGAGATTCGCAATATGGCAGGATTGAAAGATGACCTTATCACAAAAATTGATAGGGGCGTACTCCAATGGTTTGGGCACGTTGAGCGAATGAGTGAAGACCGAATGGTGAAGAAAATATATAGAGCGAAAGTAAATATTAAAAGGTGTCGAGGTAGACCGAGACTAACTTTCGAAGACCACGTGAGCAAATTGCTCGAAGAGGGGAAGGTCAAGAGTACTCGGATACCTAGACGTGCACGTATGAAGAAGTTAATGAACCTGAAAGAAGCGAAAGAGGTATGTAAGGATCGTGACACTTGGCGATCTGTTCTCTCTGGCTACCCCGTTAGGGATTGTGCGTGAAGATAAACGAAACAAAAACAAAAACCCTCTTTTGGGAAAGGAGGGCGCAGGAAAATGAAATACTTAAAATAAAACTTCATACGTAAATCTCTACAATTTATTTCCACAATTCTTAAATAATTAAAACTTTGTAGATTGTAGTCACCTACTTCTATGAGATTACAGCATATTGGTATAAGAATTTTATACCTCATAATATTTAAGTTTTATGTCTAAATTACTACTATTAAATTAAATTATTCTACGCAAACATATGATTTAAGGAAAAGACAAGAAATTTTAACCTTTATAATTAGGTATTTAACCAAAATGATAGACAACAAAAATAAGAAGAAAAAAAACCAATTTATTTTATTGTTTTTATTGGAGAAATAATAAAACATACTTTAAACGTTACTCACTGTATTTTTAAAGATAGGTAACAAAATTATCATTAAAATAAAGCAAGAAATTGTAAATGATTAGGCAATATCTCATGCTATTTTAAATAATATTATAATTAATTTAAAAAAAAGATATGTTTTTGAAGTTTACAGGATTGTGGGAAAATCCTTAAACTAATACGAAATAATACTATTAAAATTTACTGTGTCTTACATTATTGAAAAGTCAATTCGCGAATTAAAACAACAAATAAATCATTTAGTACTAAATTAAAACCATAATGTATAAATATATTGCTTATTTTATGTACACCGTCATGTTTCAACATTTAGTTATAAAGGAGTGATGTATTGAATGAGTTTACTAAATATGGCAAGATGACCTAAATAAACCTTAAATCTAAACGACTTACATTCAAACGTAAACAATATAAAGTATTTTGATATTATTGCTAATAATGGGTGCGTTTGGCAGAAAAAAGCGCTAGCAAGCGCTTACAAGCGCTAAAATAGTTTTCGGCCAGGACACGATTGCTACTTCAGTAGCGCTGACACAATCCGCCATTTTGCTTATTTAATTTGTTTGTTTGAAGTAGAGTTTATAAGTTGTTTTGTGCAATATTAGTTTTAAGTAATATAATGACATGAATAGACATATACATGTTATTAAAAATTCATGATTGGTAAGTTTTTAATATGAATACTTTACAAACATATATTTAAATTAGGTTAGTTTCCCCCGGTTAAAACTAACATCGTGTCCTGGAGGAAAATAGCGACTTACGATTTGACAGCGCTTACCGCTTACGATCGCCATTTTGCTTACAAGCGCTTGCTAGCGCTTTTTTCTGCCAAACGCACCCAATGTATTGCTTGCTTCAATAACGGATGCCAATCCTCTTACGTACTTAAACAACTTTACGAAAAAGATATTATTATATTTGATTCGAGAACTTGTTTTAACGAAATGCAACAAAATAACTAATCGGGCTCTATCTATGATGGCGATAAAAAGAAACGTAAACAAAATATACCTTACCACCTCACTTAAAACAAAGTAATAAAATATGTCATTTTCTAATTCTAATTAAGTACCGACTTGGAATGTATAAATTTGTTAACGAATTCGATTTCATTAATTAAACAATGTATGCACTGGGAATAAAAAATAAATTTTGAATGGTTAAGTTTACATAAAAAATATCTTATTTTCCCACAAAATTTTATTGCAACACTCGTTTTTACAACACTTTATAATACAAAAAAAAAACATAATACTTGAAATTTTTGTAAACGCAGATTTAAAAAAAAAACCTAATGAGTATTTTGATTTAATGTTATAATGTGTGATGTCTTTATAACATAAAATTTAGGAATTTTAGATAATTACAGCTTAAAATAAGAATTAAAGATTATACATGTTCTTAAATAAAGCAATAGTTAGGAATTAATAGGTACTGTATAATACATTCCTAAATTCATGTTCCGTAGTGATTTTTTAAAAAAGTAAAAATTATAGCTACCACCAAGTTTATAAAGCCATATAATATAATTTACTCCATCAAAATTATATTTTAATCATTTTAAATAATATATTATTAACTTTAATTCAAAAAAATGTAAATATTCTCTACCTTTAATTATTTTTAATTCCATAATTTTATAACGAAGATATTAGTTATTTTAACGTTACGACGTTACGTTTACGTAACGTAACGTACCTTGACGTACGTTAAGTTCTTATCATTTATTACTACGCATAATTTTCTAGAAAGTATATAATCAAAATATAATTTTAAAGGTCAATTTTACATATTATGTTAAGTTGTAAAAGCGTGTAGAAGGAAAAGAAAAAAAAGAAACATACGCTAAAACATTTATTGTACTGTTAAATTAAATGTATGATGAGTTGCGTTGCATACTAGAACAGTTTTAGCAGACATTATATATAATATCACCTGTTAACTATAACGTAACCTCGAAATAGATTGTTTACGTTCATTTCAGACCAACAAAGATAGACAGCACACTAAGTACCTTTCAAGTGACACCGTAGCCATGTTCAACTTATTGCCACGCACTAAGCACACATTTTTCTTACTTTTTCGTTATCATGCCGAACATGTATGTAAAACTGCTAAACGTATGCATATGTTGTTAGTTGCAAATGATTGTAGATGCATATGTATGCGTGAAAGCGTGTTCTTATAAGTTGAGCATGGTTGTCTATTTCACTTGTAATGTACGTAGTGTTCTACCTTTCTTTGTTGATCTGAGCGACGGGTCTTTCCTTTCAAGATCCTCTTATAGGTTCTACCACAAATAATGAGTTAATAAAAACTTTAATATTCCTTGTTTATTGTTTATAAAATAAGGGAGGAGAAGGGGCTCTACTGAAGTTTTTACCATCCGGAAAAACATGTAAACGGAGTAGAAGCCTTTGGCATTGATATTTTACAAAAAATAAAAACAAATACGTACTATTAATAATACATACATTTCGATGGATTATAATTAATTATTTTATTTAATTCAAAAGCTTTGTTTATATTTTTTGTAAAATATCAGTGCTATAGACTTTTACTTCGTTCACATGTAACACCATATTTTTTCCAGACGGTAAAAAAGGTTATCCAGTATATATGCTGTTTAATCCAAAGTGAGTTGATTATTTTATCTTATAAAACAAAACATAACATTTATTTATTCGATTTGGTCAGTTACTTTGACCATCCTATTTCTATATTTTAATTAAATAGTTCAAAATATTCGATAAGGAATCGTTTCCTTATTTTAAAGCTAATTTAGGAATGAACAGCAGACTAATCTGGTACAGAAATATACAGATATGTAAGGTTTCAATTACTTGTATTTAATACATATAAAAGGACGGATACAGTGATGTTAATTGCACTTATGGAATGTAATACATAGATTCTAGTAGTTTATCTATAATTAAAATTAGATAGACCAATGCATATGTAATGCGTACAGCTAAATATTAATAACTTCCTTAGTGGAAGAATGTAAAATTAAATATTGTTTTAATTTTACCAATACCCCGGTTATTATGTGTATATCATACTTTTTATTCAATATGTAGATTCAACTCCAGCTTAAATAAATTTTCATTAATGTTCCCTTTTGTTATACTATGAATTATAAAATAGAAACAACCAATAATGTATCAATTTTCTAAATGTATGAATTATTATTCATAAGTAAGTGCATAGCGATCTAGATCAATAATTTTTTTCACTGCGATAGGATTTCAAGTTACTGTAATTGTTTAAGTTAATGCTTAATTGTTACGACAATCTCTATAAATGTGAATGTTGTACTCGACAAACGGTATCTTTTGTTCAGAACTCAGGTAGCACAGGTCCTGTAAAATAATTAAATAAACACAATTATATCTGTTAACGTTTAATATTTTTACTACTAATATATTAATACATAAGTACTTATTTTATTTCTAATTACCAAAATCTCTTACGCTACACTAGAATTTACACCTGTGCCGTGAAGATTATGCCTAAGTAAATGCAATGTGGAACGCCCCCTGGCTAAACGTAGCGAAACCAAAGATTGGGATAAGCCGCACGCCTACGTTCAGCCGTGGACTGCTGCATACTGATGATGGTGATGATGATGAAAGAGAACATTGTAAAATTTAGACTCGGAAAAATTATTTGTAAGCCATACAAATATTGGTCCGTGCGGAATTCGAAACCACGGTCAAGAAGCGCCACAGCTAATCAGTTAGACGCTGCCACCAACCCGTTAAGTCGCGTGTACTAACTTTGTTTAAGCAAAAATGCTAGATCGTCGTATAACGGCGGCGTAAGAGCTTATAAAGACGGTGGTTATAAATTCTAAACATGTGATGCATACTTAGCAACGGGATAAACCATACTATTTTTTATAGGATAAGAATAACCTAATGGTAAGTGGATGCTGTGGCACATAGACATCTATATCTGTTCTCGATTAAGAATCAAAATGCAGTGCGTTGTCACCCCTGAGAACTAAGATAGAATGCCTCGTTCAGTAAAGTACACGTACACGTGCACGTGCACGTAGTACATATATAGTTTCTAACTATACTATATACCACGTGCAGTTACTATGGTATTAGTATATCCAGGAGTCTTATGCTTATATTAAGAAGGATGTGTCCAGAAATGAGCTGTTTATGGTAAACCTTACGCGGTAGAGCCACGCTGCAGCCATATTGTGATTGTAGCACGAATGGATCGTCTCGACCGGGGAAGGACCACGCTCTCACAGAATACCAGCGTGATATAGCAGCTTAATGCTGCTGTGTTTCGTATGGTGCGTGTAGAGAAGCGGAGGCCTTTTCTATTGGAAACAAGGCATTCCATCATAATCCTCAAGGGTGGCACCGCATCTGCGTTTTGATTTTTAATCGAAGATAAATGTAGATGTCAATAGGCCACAGCATTCACTTACCATCAGATGGACATTACACCTGATGGTAAGTGGATGCTGCTCGTTTGTCATCCTTATTCTGTAAAAAAACAATTCTTCCTGCAACGGGAGGGGCCCAAGTGCACTCGTGGATTCATACGGGCTGACGATGATAAAAAAAGAGTATAATAAAAGAAAGTTTTGTCGAAGGTGACGGCTACTCCTGTAGCTTATGACCATTCCGCTGCTGCTCAAACGTGCTGCCGAATGAATAATATTTTTTGTCCTTTGTTTCTTGTGATGTAGCTTACGGGTAAAATTTTCTTTACTGAAATGAATATTTGATTTATACCGAAGTATTTTTGAATGATTAACCTATGCAGTAGGTTTATGTTCAGCAGTGGATTTTAGATAGGCTAATGATAGATGAAAGATTTTTCTTCAGAAATTCCGGCTATTTGATGAAGCAAAACTAGCTACTTATATATTGCAATAATTTCAGGTTCAGATAACTTAAGGTTTTGCAATTCCTGCGTTTAGCATTCGGTCTGATGCGATTGTAAAGAATTTGATACCCCTCAAAATAGCAAAGCGATTAGCAAATTCCTTGCGCAAAGTCAAACTAATCAAATTTCAAACTCGGTCTATTATTTTCACTTGCATTTTCCCAATTAAAGCAAACCTTTTTTTATAGGATCGGATGACAAACTAGCACACAGGCCACCTGATGGTAAGTGGTTGCTGCGGCCCATAGACGTCTATCTATCTTCGATTACAAATCAAAACGCAGATGCGTTGTCACCCGTGAGGACTAAGATGGCATGCCTCGTTTCCAGTAAAAAGGGTCTCCGGTTCTCTACACTCACCATACGAAACACAGCAGCATTAAGCTACTATTTTACGCTGGTATTCTGTGACAGCGTGGTCCTTATCTGGTCGAGCCGACCCATTCGTGCTACAACTATACTACTAATATAATTGCAGCATAGCTCTACCACGTATGAAAACCTACCTTTAACGGCGTGAAACTAGCTCGGATTTTCATATGCCGATCCATATTACAATCCAGAGTCATCTTTGAGGTCCAAATGTCTCCTGAGGGTACAGGTTTGGCTATCTCTCGGTTAAGTTGACAGTTCTTTAAGGTATCGTATTTGCAGTGAAGGTCACAGAGTCTTATCTCTTTCAGTTTTGAAGTTCTGTAATAAAAAAATAGTAGGGTACAATAATTTAGAACTATTAATTTATTTATTATATAGTATAATAATGTTTTTTAAGAACGTACAGGTTGACTCAAAGCCTTCCTTAGGTTTTATTTACGGCGTCAAAAATCGTACTCATATCTAATCATACAATTATTATTGAAATTACGGTGACCCATATCCACGTCAAGCATTATTACCGGTTGAGGATTATTCCACACTCTTTTTATGTTACTATATTTTATAATATAATAACCTATTTTTATTTTGGAGAAAGATAATAGACGGAGAAAAAAATTACTAAAGACAATATTTTTTTAATATAATACTGGCACAAATTGATATTAAAAATAAAACCCAAACTTATTTATAACTATATAAATCTGGGCTTTATGATTTTAAAACAATTATCTATTTATGTAGTATGCAAAATAAGGATCTATGAGTTCTAGAGTTTATTCCATCGAAGTATTGGACAAAAAATTTTCAAGTAAGGAATGCAGGTTTTTTTTTAAATCTACGATAAACGCTATTATTTTGCCATAACGTTTTTCAAAATATACCATTAAGAATTTAAATAGTTTCATTACTAAATACTCATCATAAGAGTGTCAAATATGAGATGTGGCTAGTATTCAACAATGAAACCTATATATGCAATATTTTTGCTTTCTTAATTTTAGTACATAAGATGTTACTATATATTATAAAACAACAAGAGAGAGATCGTAACACAAATGAGAGAGGTCTATGCTACTTTTACTTCTCAAAGGTAATTAATTAATATTAGGTCTTTACGTATGAAATTGCTATTTTTTATGAATTAACTTAACGTACTTTTTTTCAATATTCTTTATTTCTATTAATCAAAGTAATAACACATGCAATCGATGCATCTTTGCCAACTCAGTGACAGTTTATTGATGCCCTTTTTGAAGAAATCAGCTGGACGGGAGGCAACAAATTCTTCAAAGGTATTTTGTATCTCTGGGATATTGAATTTTTTGAAGTTTCAAAAAGTTATCCAAATTTTGAAAAAATAAAGGCCCGTGGGCGCAATGTCTGGTGATTACGGCGGTAGACGGAGAGCTTCCAACCCCAGGTATTGTAACTTGGAGACCGTCTGTTATGCAGTATGAGGTCGTGAAGGAGTAGCGGAGACGAACGATTGACCAAAGCTTGTTAGAGACGTGCGAGTTTTTCCATCATAGTGTTCGGTGCTACACAGTACACATCAAAAGTAATGCTCATACTATTTGGTAAGAAACTGTGATCACACCTGCGCTAGACCACCAAATAGTGACCATCGCTTTTTAGGGGTAAGTTTTTGTTTAGGGCATTGTTTAGGTGCTGAACCAGGATCCAACCAACATGCTGAGCGCTTGCGATTGTCAAACAGAATCCATTTTTCGTCGCAGGTTACAACGCGGCTCAAAATTCCTTCGTTTGTGTGCTTGTTGAGCAGTGGAAAGGACGTCTCGACGCATACTTCGCGCTGACGATCATTGTGTTTGTGAGGCACCCATTTGTCAAGGCTTTCTTACCTTGCCAATTTGACGCAAATGGACCAATATTGTTTTGAAGCTAACGTCGGAGCTCAATTCAGCCGTAGATTGAGTGTCATCAGATTTCACAATTGTCTTTAAATCGTCACTGTCGCCCAAAGTTTTCAGACGACCACGGGGTTTACTTTTCATATCGAAATTTCCAGAAAGGAAGCAACAAACCAATAACAGGCGGTGCGTTCGTCTGTATTATTATATCCGTAAATGTCGTTGAAGTTACAATTCCATAATTGTAATTCATATGTAATTCCATGATTACTCGAATTTTTGACGTATTCATGATGACCAAAATGATTTAAATGCGATGCAAACATAACGCTAATCAATAAACAAATGACTAATTTTGAAAAAAGAATTCTATGTTTTAAAAAAATTACATTTAATATTAGAATTCTTAGCCAAACAAAAATTATGTTCACTTGAAATGGCCAGTACTAAAGAACGGCAATTTCATAGGTAAAGACCTATGTTAGAACTACGCTAGTTATTTTAGAACTATAATAAGCAGATAAAACGTATGTCGCTCGACTTGTGTAACAAATCGAAAGAAACTAAACTAAGATGAAACCTGAAAGTGATGTCAACGTGCTTGTGATGCAGACAGTGCGACAAAGGGACGCCGTACGTATAGTTGTGCACGCCGCGCCCGCAGACCGTCTCCGTAAACAACGAGGCATTCAGCACCGATTTGCTGGACAGGCCAACGCTCACGCTCTCGCACTCTGAAATCGATAAATAACTGAGTTTTTCACGAAATTTTGCATATTTTATTAAACTTTAGAACAATATATCACGCAGTAACTATATCACTGTATAGAGGCCGTTTCAAGAATGCACTAGCCGCCAATTAGTTCATGAAATATTCGTAGAGCCTCGCTGTAGTTGTATCACGTAGTGTATTCAAAATAAGTGTTTATACATAGATAATGTATGTTTTCAGTTCAGCTTTATGGTCTTAAACTCTAGATAAAGTAAAAAATGACACATTATATTTTTCTGAAACTATTAAATCTTTCGACTTACCTTGACCTAAGGGCACTTCATCTGACTGCTCTGTCAATATCATCTCTTCAGAACTGCTTCTCAGTAGGGCTTCATTTGTCTCCCTCACTTCCCGCTTCCCTCTCATATCCTTTCCTCTTATTTCCCTTCTCATCCTTACCTCAGTGCTATTTTGTTTATTCGGTTCTAACCAATTTGACTCAGCAAGTATTTCCTCTTGTATCTGACTCCTAAGCGACTCGTTTTCTTTCTTTAATGTATCAGAGTTGTTTTTCTCTAGGATAACTGGGATGCTTGGTAATTCTTTAAGAGTTATCTCTAAGGGCCGTGCAAATGTTTCGTTTAGGTCTTTTTCCGAACTGGAGCGCTCTAAGGGTTCTTGATTTTCGTAAGTTTGGGGTGTATCGAGACCACAGGACTGTAACAAAATGTAGAAAATGTGGTAAAAATTATAGAATATTCTGGAATACTTATTCTATTGAACTGAATTAAAAATATTTCTCATAATTTCTGGGTGGTAGGCATCTACCGAGTCATATGCATGGCATAGCTATATTCCGGTCTAAGGAGTGTTAGTAACATGAATAAGGTGTTATACCTAGACGAAAATTTGGTGGTTTTTCTATTTAACATACTTTTTTAAGTTTTATAGATTACAAACTAAAATTTTGGCATATGTTTTTTGACTATATGACCTAGGATTGCATAAAAGGAAACCACGATATCATGTGATTTTTTTGATAGAAAAAAATTGCAAAGTAGGCTCCAATTATTTACATTTCTCGATGACACCACAATATTCTTACGAATAATTTCATGGAATTATTTTTAAGGCATAGTAAATAATCATATCCAAGTTATGTTAAAATAAATAAAAATGTTGTTTGGCGCTTACTCAGTTTTTTTCCGAGCGCTTGCTCGGGATGGCTATCTCACAATATGCGTACTATGAAGTCATTGCATCACTTTCATTTTGACACTCCCGCAGTCGTCCGTTAGCTTCGCCAACAAAGGAATAAGCCACGCCCCCACAACTTCGATTCATTTTCAAGGTATCCTCTTAACTTTTATATTTATACTACTACTACTAGTACTACATAAAGGGTTTTTCAATAGGGGCGGGTAGATGTTAAAAAGAAATAAAATAAGCTGTGTATGAGGTATTAACAAAATTATTTTTTTATTTAAAAGGCCGTGCCATTAAGTGAGGATATGACATCGTTTCAATACAAGCCTCGGCTTCTTATAGTGACACGGATTCAAGCGGTCCAATTTTCAAGAACTTATCTGCATATATCCTATATAGAATTTTAACGATGGCTTACGTTATGTTCACCTTTAGGGCAGCGATCGATTGTGTTTTGTTTGCATAAACCTGCGACTACAAAAAACCCCACAAGAAAAAGGCTGGCGGGGTCAAATCGGATGATCTTGGCGGCTAATTCACATCACCCCCGCGAGAGATCAGCTTACCCTCAAATCGCTGACGTAGAATGTCAATCGTGGAGTACACTGTGTAGCACTTAGCACCATCCTGCTAAATCCACATATCGCCTAGATCTATATGATTCAAATTGGGCCATAAAAAAATTGGTTAACAACGTTCTGTAGCGCTCGCCGTCGACGTTGATCGCCTCACCAGCGTCGTTTTCGAAAAAGTACGAACCAATGACGCCGCCGGCACAAAATACACACCAAATGGTAACTTTTTGAGGATGCATTATCACCCGGTGAACCTCGCGTGGGTTGATGTCGTCCCATATACGGCAGTCCTTGTTAATACAGCGATTCATCCCAAAATGCGCCTTGTCCCTAAAGACGACTTTTCGGCCAAAATTGGGGTCCTCTTCCAAACAATTCAAAGCCCAGTCAGCTATTCTATGGTATACGCTAGTCTATGGTTATGAACTTTGAGCTTCTGGGTCAGTTGGATCTTGAACGGGTGTAGGCCTAAGTCCCGGCGCGAAATTCGCGAAAGTCTGCGAAAGGCCGACTTTTTGTGCACGCCGAGGAATCGACTTACGTTCTTTGAACGTAAGGGTGTTGGCTGATTGTTTACCTAATCAGACGTTTCTAATTTTTGCCACCAAACGTTGAAGAGGCCTGTGAAGTGTCACCACGTCCACGTAAAATGGGCGCATTGCGCGCAACGTTTACACTAACGAACACTTATTTTGATAACAAAGTTTTATCATTTGAACGTGCTGTTCAATCGTGTAACATTCCATAATGATTAGGCTTTAGTAACTGAATAATAAACAAAAGATTTGATAGATGTCACCAAAACAAAATGGCCACCATGGGCAGCTAAAATTTACCCGCGCCAATTGAAAAATCTTTAGTAAGTATATATATATATATATTAAAGTATAATTTATGCAGTCCATCTCACAAGACGAGTTGACAACACATCCACTCACCGTTACCGTTAAAGTCTATTAAAGTTCACTTTTTTATAGAAGAGGTGGCAAATGAGCATACGGCTCATCTAATGTTAAGTGACTACCGCCGCCCATGAACAACTGCAACACCAGGGGAATTGCAGGTGCGTTGCCGGCCTTTTAAATAGGAAAATCGCCGGTGTTAAAGGATTCCATTAGTGGTCGTACGAGGAAGAAACCATGCAACCTGTAAAATATACAGTGGTGGAGCCCTAAGCATCCAGATGGTGGGATAGTATCGTGAGTTTTGAGGCAACGTGCGTTCATGAAATTTGCCGGCTGGAATTCCTCAGAACATTCCCCGTAGTAATAGTTCCCAGAGATGGGAACAGTATTCCATGTGAGACCGAAACTGCACCTTGTAAAATTGCAAGCGGTGTGCCGGCATTAAATACGATCCCGCTCTGTTGATCATTGCAAGCTTTTTAGAGGCGAATTTGGGCTTCTCTTCCAAGTGGCCACGAAACTGCACATCATTCGATATGTCGACGCCGAGGATTCCGATACTAGCCGAGGCAACAAGGACAGTGCTTTGAAATTGAAGAGATACGACAAAGGAGTTCTTTTAAGCGGTCTTTTAAACGCGCAAACTTGTGTCTTTTGGGGATTGAACTGGACTAGATTTAGTCACCCCCAAACGGAGACTGTTCAGCAAAGATTCGACTACAGACACAAGTTTGTTCCGGTACTCGGCGACGTTTTCCCGACAAACATTGGCACGGTCGGTGAATAGAGCTTCACCAGTGTTGTCATCCGTATATCAATGAATGCTACCGGCTTGTGCATAATCGAACAAGAGGATTGTACTGCCCAGCATTAATAGGCTTGTAATCTGAGCATGCACCGTCTACTCCGACCTTGATGCTCCGATCTGCAAGAAAGCTGGTGATCCAATTGCACAATTTCTCGGAAAGTCCATAGGAAGGGACCTTGGAAAGAAGCGCTTTGTGCCAAACGCGACCAAGGCCTTCGCTATGTTCAAACTAACCGCCAAGACTTCCCCCTTGGACTCAACCGCCTACACCTTAACTACGTTATCCACCTCTTACTTGTTAGGTAAATAAGAAAATCACCAGCTGAGCGACCCCGACGGAAACCGTACTGGCGGTCACTAATCTGCTGGTGCTGCTCAAGATACCACTTGAGCTGGCAGTAAATGCTCGACTCCATTATTTTCGAGAACAAGGAGGTGATGGCCATAGGCCTGTAATTGGATGGATCAGAGCGGTTAAGTTTATCAGGAATTGGGTGCACGAAAGCTGTCTTCCACGAATTTGGGACTACGCCTACACTAGGCGTACCGGAAAAGACGCATCAACATCGGTGCCAACTCTGGAACACACATCCTCAGCACAATTGGGGAGATTCCGTCAAGCTCAATTGACTCATGTCTAGAGAAGTGCTTTGCGAACCGAGAGCTGTGTGAACCGCACATTTAGCATGAAGCACTTACACCGCGAGATGGTCGGCGGTGTGCTTCCCCCGTTATCGAGGGTCGAGCTGGACGCAAAGAGAGACCCTAGCAGATTTCTCCTTTGCGTCATGTGCCAGTGACTCATCCTCCCTGTGCAGAGATAGGAGAGATGGCTGTCAAAAGTTCCCTTGGTGAGAGACCAGAATGCACGGGTTCCCGTAGTAAGGCGAACTAGCTTCTCGCAAATTATGCCTGTGTGCTCTGACTTTACCTTAGCAATGACTTTTTGGAAGGCTCTGTGAGGCAGAATTATACTTCTTTTTAAGGGTTTACATCCCGAGCCGCCGAAGCGTCAGTCCAGGCCTGATAACACTCCTGCTTAATACGTAATGCAGTCTTACAGGAGCGATCACACCAAGCCTGAGATCTGCCACCGATGGGTACCACAGATGATAGAATAAACTATTTATTCTCTGTGGAAATGGAAATCCATTTCCCGACAGTGATAGACCACATCAGTGACAGAGTCAGCAACAGGAGAGAAGCAAACCCCCCTGGGTAGGATGTGAAGAAAGATCGCATTCCGTCCCAATCCGCCGACCTGTAATACCAAACACGGCGGCAGCGTGCAGCAAAAGCAACCGCGAAAGGAGCGTGAGTGGCACCACACTCCCAATCCTGAGACCTGATATCCGACCGGATGAGAGGTCAGCAGAAGGTCCAACAGGGAAGATGCATGATCCTCCACATCTCGAATCCGCGTAAGCGAAGTAACCAGTTCCGTCAGACATATGTTCTAGCCAAGGTATATAAACAGATTTCAACGCATGATCGGTTAAACGTGAACCGATCCATTCGACGTGATCTGCGTTAAAATTGCCAAGGATCACGATCTCTGGATCTCGGGAGGATTGTGAACTAGGAATCTGTAGCGCTTTGTACGTGGTCGATGAGTTGGCCTATTTCGGCATTACCGCTATGGAGCCTATAGAGGCACCTGTAGACGCACGGATGGTCGTCGCAGTCTATGCGTAGTCAAAGGATGAACATGCCCGGACCTTCAAGACTGCCGAGGCGTCGAGAACAAATGTCCTCTCTGACGTATATGCAAACTCCAGCCCGAGGCACAAAGGAGTGTTCCAGTTTGTACTCCGGGGTAGGAGAGATACGAAGCATCAGCCGGAGAGGACACCTGCGTCTCGATCAGAAAGAGCAGAGCCGGCTTCGCCGTCTCGAGATGGTAGTGGACGGCGTTTAGGTTCGAGTGATATTGCATAAATCCATGGATAGCGTCGCAAAGGTCACCTGGGTTTTGTTGCTCAGCTTCCCTCGAGCAGTTTGTGTCTTGAGCGAAATTCCCCCCCCCCCCGTCACCCATGCTCAGGAGTAGAATACCTTGGCCGTGGTTCTCGTACATTCCTGGGATAGATTTTATTCGACTACCATGTTGACGGGGCCTCTGGCCACCTGCACTTACCAGACGAAATGCAGAAGCAGAGCTTCTACTTCATGCTGGTTTACACTGCCAAAAATACAGGCCTACCCCACAGATTGCCACCTAGGAAACTCCCTGCCATCTGGCAACCGTAGTTTTTTATTTTTAATCGCCATTAGATGCTTCTGATATGTTTCTATCTGTCGCTTCTTACGGCACCCACAGGATGATATGGGGTAGTGGATATACTGACACCGCAACTACACGGTTCTTCAGAAAATAGATTGTAACGATAATATAAATGTAAATGTTTTATCTTACCAATATGGACATGATCCATCTTGAAATATCTCCAAATCTCTTTAGAGCAGCATGAGTGAAAAGGACATATTATATTTTTACTTATATATTAATGTTTTGTAGAAAAATCTTAATTGTTTTAATATTTTGCACTCAATTAACTAATTGTCTTTCATGAATCATTATCATCAAAATTATCGCCATTCACAAGTTTACTGCCGAACAAACGCCTCCCCCAGGGAATGCTACAAAACATAATCCGGAGTCTCTATTGATTTTTCAGCCTATTTAATATCACGACTGGCCTTTCTGAGAATTCGCCGATTGGCGGGCATTTCTCGAAAGATTTCCCCGCATACGCACCACGCCGGACAGTCTAATTGGTGAAAATAGAAGCGATGTACTCGCACTGATGATGCGTTTGCTATTAGGGTCATAGTAATTTACAATTTACATTCGGCAGGTCCCTTGCTCCTAAGCTTTTATATACATTTTATCATTTATTAGAATTGTTTGTTAGTAACATGACACAGGAAACTAGTGTTAGTTGTAATGTACCTGACATTCAGCGTCCAGTTCGTTATCGGTGTTCACTGTAAAGGTGCAACCACTTCCAACTACATCGGCTACTCGAGACAGCGATATGAGTCTCTCCATGCGCAACGGCTGCGGTGATGGCTCCATATCTGTAAGAAAGTTTAATTATTTGATAACATTTAGAATGTATCGCTATTGTGGACAGAGAAACTAAGAAGTCGATGTTCGACTACGTTTGTTTGTAAAGGGTTTATTTCTAGCATAAGTATTTTTAGCCTATTTTCAACCTTGTATAGGTTTTAATGGTAACGGAAAAAAACTTAATACTTACTAAGCACGTTCCTCACGTAGTTCCTTGAGGCGTGGCTGATTGTTGTCGAGGAGTGCGATGTATCTGTAGTTGTTGTTGTGTACTCTTGCGTGGTCTTAAGTGGTCCTTTCTCTGTCAAAAAGATAGCTATAAGTTAAAGAAAAAGCTTAATTTCCCTTGTTACCGATGGTAATTAGGTTTTATTTTAAGCTACTAGTTTTTTTATTGCTATGAGAGTGACAAACTGCAAACAGTTCATCTGATGGTAGTACTCCCGCAAATCCATAGACACTACCACCTTTTTTTGGCTAAGAACGGCACAGATATATTGTAACTGTTGTGGAATAAGAAATGAAGCCTGAATTATACAATAACTAGCGACTCGCGCTGTTTTCTTTTATAGAATCAGGGCGACAGACGAGCACACAGTCCATTTGATGGTAAGTGGATGTTGCGGCCCATAGACATCTACATTTCTTTTCAGTTAAGAGTCAAAATGCAGATGCGTTGTCACACTTGAGGACTATGATGGAATGCATTGTTCCCTTTAGAAAAGGCCTCCGGTTCTCTACACTCACCATACAAAACACAGCAGCATTAAGCTGCTATTTCACGCTGGTATTTTATGAGAGCGTGCTCCTACATCTTTCGAGCCGACCTATTCCTGCTACAACCATAATATAGTTTTTTCGCAGATTTGGTCACAAAACACCATCATTTTTCTACTTTTCAATAAAAATAATAACAAAACCTACGAGTATTATGCGCGAAAATCCTAGTTAAGAGTTACTAAGAACCGTTATTAATATTTTTACTTACACTAAAAATTGACACAGTGGTTATTATTAAGTATCTTTGAAGAAAGTTTGTGACAGACGAACGGACACACTGAATGAGGTGACTACTAATTTTGGCACGGAACATTTTAATTTTTTTTTTGATAAAGATAACTCCACGTGGGAAAAGACCTATTTTATACTCAACTGTATGCTGCTATTATTGATTTCGACGGACTGTAAGAAAATATATATTATCCTGAGAGATACTATCATATAACCTATATACAACATGTAACAAAAACCCTGTGGTTCCCGTTAACTGCGTTATCAGAATCATTATCCAAGCATATAGAAATAATTTCTTAAAAAAAAACATATAATTTGAAAAAAAATTATTTAATGAAAAAAAATTAATTTGCAAATAGTATGTGGTTTTATTATCTCTGCATTTGCAGAGGAATAAGAGGACTGTCAAAGACCCCGCATTACCGATACTCGTGTAAGTTAGAGGAAATAAAACCACATACTGATGCGAAAAACTACCTCACCAGACTGTTTAACTTGCAACGTTATCGATGATGTTTATCACATTTTTATAGAATGTGCCCAGAACTCCAGAGAAAGAAAAAATTGCAATATAATACATTTGTCATTGATTGGCAGTATTCATATTATTTTATCAGACCCGTTATCAGAAGATGCCAAAAAGCTTTATATGTTAGTAAATAAGAGATTTAAGTAATCAATAAGTTTATACTTTATAGTTGTTAGTATTTATCCTATTTAAGAATTTTGTTGTACCAGGGCGTCATAATCGCTTCAGCGACAAAGTTCTTTTTCTAAGAATTAAAAAAAGAATTAAAAAACATATACAATTTGCAAATTAATGTTTTTTCATTAAAAAAATTTTTTATGTCATTTAAAAAATATATATTTCTATACGAATACTGATTCTAATAACACACTTAACGGGAACCACAGGGTTTTTGTTAAATGTTGTATAAGTCGCACCATTAAAGAAGCGTTAGCGTAGAATAAATGGCGGCGAAGCATGCTATCTCTCTTACATAATATCGGTCACACACCCATGCACCGTATGACGAGAATTGTTATATTCAAACAATCGGCAAAAATATCACGGATATACTGTATTTATATACGTAACATAAAAATACAGCCTAATTAAGAGCTTCCTTTTAATTTATTACTACAGAAATGATTATTCTTTTCTTTTTTTTAAACGTTACCCCTACACTAGGATTTTCTCCTGTATCGTAGAGGCAGTTTACAAACATAAATTGCACAAGGACAAACATCCAGACCCGGAACAATTATTTGTAGGCCATACAAATACTTGTACCGTGCGGGATTCGAACCCGCGACTCACAGCGTAGCCACTAATTGCTAAGCCACTACGCCACGGAGTCGTCAATACTTACTATACTTATCTGGATGGCTGCAACTGGCTCTGAAATGACCAAATATCTTGGAGTTATCATAGATGAAAACCTAATGTTTGATACGCATATTTCAAATTTGTCTTCCCGTGTGCGAAATTTCATTTACATTACGAAAAAACTGCTAGTTTATACTCCTGTGGATACAATACGTTAGGCATACTTCGCACTATTTCAATATATACTGCAGCTGCATTTGAGTTTAGGACTGCACTTACGACATTTAATAGGGGCTACAGCGTGCACTAATTAATCTTGAACAAGCCATTCACATACCCCACTGATTCTCTATATGAAAAATTTAAAGTACCATGGGTGTGACAGCTGTTCATTTACAATGCCACACTCAAAGTGCGCAAAACTGTAAGATCTCACCCGGATAACAATGATTTCAGAAGCAAACGAACTTTTAGAATCTCCGTTCCAATCGTAAAGTAATAGGCTAAACGTTGTCCCAAATTCTCACATCCCTTCATTTACAACACAATATTAAAAATAATTGACCTTAAAGATCGCTCGCTCACTTTCTTCATGTCAAGCTAATTAAAAAGCACATAAGAATACATGCACACAAACATACAAACACACAAACTAGCCCCGAGTTAACTCATTCCTGACCCAACTATTACGGAATAATCTCTTACAGGTGCTATAATTTATTTAAAATGTCTTTTTTTAGTAAAATAATACCTCCTTATTATTTGTATTAGAAGCATTACTTTTAACCTCCGATGTCAATCGTGTTATGTTAAAATTGTCGTATTATATATGTTTAAGCAAATGGGGTCCAGTAACAAACCATTTTCTAATATTGCATGACATTAGAAAGTGAGCTACAAGCTGCGCTTAGTTTAGGACCCGCACTTACCTGTTTTTATAATGTTACTTATTTTAAGATAAATAAATAATAAAATTAGAGAGCTACCTCCTTTTTAAGCGGGTTGAATATAAACTTTCGAAATAAAAAACAACAATTTGACAGTTTTGTTTTTCTGACCGTTTTGACGTACAAAAAACGGCCGCCATTTATGTAACACTAGTTTAATGTTGCGGCTTATATTGCACGTGACAATAACGTGACACTTACCTTTGGCAGTTTTCTTTGCAGCTGCGTGTTGCGATGGTTTAGAGTTCTGTAAGGAAAAAGAAATCTTTATTTGTAATATTTTGTATGTAATGATCAAAGGAAGGTTGAGGTATAGTTTCATAACGCATATTTATTTTTAACAAAAATAAGTTGTAAGTACAATTAATTACAATACATTTTTTTTTCAAAGATTGTGTAAGAATTAAATCTCCGACTTCAAAACGTGAAATTGTTTTATTCTTTTAAGTTCGTTGAAGTATTTTTCATTTTTTATTAAAAGTTATTTTTTCCTTTTTAAGTGGAATATGGAATATCACAATCTCAATTAAAAAGGCCATTCCTTATTTTGCCACACATAAGGGCAAATTTTTTGTTGTTGTGTATGGTACTACTTTTGAAACGAATAATTACTTTTGAAACCTATTTGATAAGTAAGAGCCGTGGTAGCTCAGATGGTTAGCGCTCGCTGTAAATTTCACAGTACGCGAGCAAACCGGGTTCGATCCCCGCCGGCACCAATGAAATTGTTAATTGTAATTTTAAGTGCTGATTTACCACGTGCTCGACGGTGAAGGAAAACATCGTGAAGAAACTTGCATGTCAGAGAAATAAGAAAAAAAAATATTTCGAAGACATGTGAAGTTCGCAACACGCATTGGGCAGTGCGGCGGATAATTCCTTGCCCTAAAACCCTCTCAGAAATGAGTGGAAGGCCTGTGCCCAGCAGTGGGACGTAATATAGGCTGTAACTTTACTTACTTTAATAAGTAAAACAATAAACATTAAAACTCGGACCACATTTGACGAAGACATCGCGTATCATATCATACATTCAAAAAAAAAACGTAGTCGAATTGAGAAATTCTTCCTAAAAATCGTCCTACAAACATACAATAACAATTAATAATAATATTTGTATTTTTTGTTTTAAATCCGAGTTGTTTTTTTTCTACACATTACTATATTAAAGATCTATTATTTCACGAAGGCGGGCGATTCTTACTTGTGTTGAAACACGCGTGCTTGCGTGCGTAAATGAAAAAATATAAACCTACACTAACAATAAAGGCCAACCTGCCATCTTGAGATAAAAATGTTAATGTCCTATTAAAAAGACGACCAGCTGGAAATGGTTAAGTAATAAAAATACCATTGCACATTTTACCTGAATTTGATTTTGATCAGAGGGCGTTGCCCTGTGAGCCGGACCACCATTGGCATTAAATTTACCGTAATGCGGGTAGTTCGAAAATTTCTCGTGCATTCTAATCTCCTTCATGGATATTAGTTCCTGGTGTTCTCTAAAGTATAATGCAGTCATAACAACCAGGCTGTAAGAAAAATATAAAAATAGATTATAGAAAAAAAAAACAGTAAAAGGTAAACTAACAATATTCTTTTTAAATGAAGGAAAAAAAACAGTCAATTCAGCCCCATGTTTCCTTTTACACTTGTGATAGAAAGGCAATAGTATAAAGTTCAATCTTTAATACCAGATGCTAACATCTTAATATGATTGCTCCGCCGTCTGCCAAAAGATTTCTCCTACATTTCCCTTAGTTAATCAACAGTAGAGGGTAGAGTGTATAAATCCTATTTCAAAATATAAGTGTGTTGCACATTTAAAAATAAAAAGTCAAACTTACCATATAGCCATAATAAAAATTAATATAGTGATAACAATTTGCAAAAACTTATTCGAAATCAATTCACTGCTGGCATCCCCAAATCGATCCTTCCGTCGGCAACAGAATGGTAATTTATTGTTGCCATACGGCAAACTGTCCTCGTCCCTAAGCCAAAGACACGAGTCTTTTTGTTTTGATAGAGTGCTATAATTTTCATCCGTCAATTTTTGGACTGGGTTTGACTCTAAGGTGCTCACATACGTAGGATAATTGTCAGAGCTTTCGACTTTGTCACTTTTGCTTGAATGGTATCTTACACAGGTCTTGTTATAGTTATAATATTTTCCATATTTAGCATAATTTCCGTGGCAGTTTTTGCATTGCTTTCTAGTGTATTTCGGGGAATTGTGACTCAATTTATGGCAGTATTCGTGACGGCGGATATTTCGCGCTATATCTCGTATTTGATCTATGGAAATATTGCCATCACTATAAAATGATTTCGATGAAGTCGACAAGCCAGAGAAACGTGAATCTGAAAATAAATTATATAAAGAGTAGTAACATTTCTATTTCTACTGGTTATAGGGTTAATAAAGAGGGAATTTCTCATCTCTCTGCGTTCTCATCAGTCCATTAACACTGCTGAACGTGGAGAGAGTAGGGAGAATATGCCGCAATTGTAATCAGGTAAACAGGCGTTCGCAGTAATTTCGCACTATTGATGCTGCTTCCCGTCGCCGGTTTGGGTATTTTACATCTTCTAAATATACAAGATAGTTATGCCGCCATGTATCGCCGTTTATAAGAGATTTCTGCTATTGCCTAAGATGCTTCTTACGATACCCACTGGATATTATGGCGTAATTTTAGATTATACATTAGCAAGCTATAGAGCGCACATTAGCGAGTATGAACAGTACGCACTGGTATGAAAAGTATGGAATTTGCAGAAGCGACGCTATTAGTCACGAAAGACACGCGCACTGGTGGTTTTTCTCGCCGGTATTTAATTAAGCTTAAGTTATCACGTAGTAACAAATTTAGAATAATAATGAAATTTCTTTTCATCGGTAAGTAATATTTTGATAAGTAAAACTGATTTAAAAAATGAATTAATAAGGGTGTCAAAAAAAGGACGCAGCAAGTGCTTCTACGTCCATCGCTTCGGGCATTCCCCAAATTAGAGTTAGTGCTGTATCGCGTTGTACACGAATATTTTGTAATAACATGATTTCTTTCGTAATAATAGTATATTAGAATACTATAATACATAATAGAATGGCTGCCAACCTTATTTTGTACGAGAATCGGTATCGCCGGAAGCACACATACAAGCAATTACGTCGTATTATTACTACTAGAAACTCGATTCGCTGTATTGATAGACTAAGCGTATTTACACATTTTTGACTTTTCATTAAAATTCGAGATAATCATTAAAATAATAAATCGTTTAAATTTGAATAAATGTTTATTTGTAAATAGTGTGCAAACTAAACGTAAAACAATCGCTGTAAGTATTATTTTTTCTTATTGTAAATAAAAGATTCAAGATGCGTAGCATCATATTAGTGTGTGCATTTATGTATACTGTAATTTAAAATGGTATCACCGCTAGGTATGTAGTCTTATTTAGTGACTTACCAGTAATCGGTAAAACTTGAGAACATTTATTTCGATATATTTCAATAATATTTATTGTTATGAATTATGTACAATTTTATACTAAAAGATAAATACTAAAGTATTCACTTTATAAAAGTGCAATAATAAAATGTTTTTTTTGTTCCAAATACACGATTCTTTGTAAATTTTTCGATTAAGTCAAAATTTTTCTTCAATATATATAAGACAAAGACATAATTTGCTGCCCAAATGTATTAAATATAGATAAATAGAGTTGTTCAGAATCATTTGTATGAGAAATCCATACTTTAATATTATAATGCGTCTGAATCTATTTTGATAAAACTGAGATAGTTTAATGACTGGTTAAGTCAAAAAAGTCATATCACAGCTAAGTAGACAATAAAGCCTAGTTTAGTCGTTATTAGTCGTTAAACCGCCAATTTGGATGAAAACGGTGAAATGAGTATAAAGTTTTGTATAGGAAATGCTAATCCATTCAACCGATTTTGACGAGATTTGGTGTTCAGATAGCTGGAAAGATTAAAAAGGCTAGGTTACCTTTTATTCTCCAAGAGATAACGTGGTATGATTGAATTCCACGCGGACGAAAAACGTAATCGTATACTTCTTTATATGAGTATTTCTTTATTATTTTTTATCTTTGAAATGCGTTAGCCTGTTTATCTACGTTAGTTAACATCCACAAATTGCAATAGGTTGCTATGAATACAAAACTAACTAAAACTAAATGTTGATCTATTAAGAAGGTAGGTTACCTTCTTAATAGATCAACATCACATTACCTTTAATAAATAAAACAATATTTACAGAACAATAAAGTTTATTCAAAGTTATGGAACAGTAATATTTATTAAAAGCTTACTAGGCCGTAACAATTCAACCCATCCGTAATCATTAATTGATCGAGTAGATGTCTTCTACTATGTATGCCAGCTTTCGTGTTTTGCCGAAAATTTTCCTAGTACGTTTAGAAGTTGGAGTTTTATAATGAAAAACTTGTAATGAGTGGAATGCGTAGAATGATTCATTGCCAAAATGTGCCTCCTTGTATCTAAAAAATGAACAAAATTTCAAAAATTTTTAACCAGTGAAAATGTCTACATTACAATGTTTACAATTTGTAAATACGAACGAGAGGAAGATAGCGCTCTTGGATTCTAAGAAACGAAGAACGCGTTATTTCGCGCGAACGATACAGATCGATCTGAGCGCTCGCATCGGATGGATCTGCAGTCCTGTTGTGCATAGTAAAAAACATTTAATAAATATTTTTCATCGTATTTTATCGTATCTATTTAGCTTATCATCAAGCCAAGTACAAATTTAAAAGCGATAATATTTTCCGGCTTACCGGTTCTCGGTAAAATTTTGTTACATCTCTAGTACTTGCAAGTGCTAGTATTCACAAAATATAAATAGTTTCGACTTACTGGTGGTAGGATATGCCTCTTCTATTTAAATTACATTTCCCGCTGTTCTTTCGACACGTAATTATTTCACAATTTGGCATTTTTTAAATAATTTCCATGCAGCGACGCTTGACGCGATAATTGGGAACGATTGTTACGTCAAAAGAGATTTGTTGACATTTATGTGACATTTTAGTGGCTACACGGGTTCCGCCCACTTCCCCGTTCTCGTCTAAGAAAATCGTAGTATAAGAAATTAAGATTCTTTGACCGGTATAGATCAATTCTATAAATAAATCCTTTGAGTAGCTTTTTATATCAGTACATAATAAGTTAAATACAGATAAACACTTATAACGCGTTATATATATATATATATATATATATATATATATATATATATATATATATATATATATATATATATATATATATATATATATATATATATATACTAGCTTGCCAGGTAGACGTTGTTCTGCCCTTTTCGACGACCCTTTGTCATGTCCTATTAAAATCCTTAAAGTCGCAAAAAAAAAATTGAGGGTCACTCATGGGCAAAAAAACTATGGGAAATCGGTTAAGTAGTTTAGGAGTCCATCGCGGACAAACAACGTGACACGTAATTTATATATTAAGATAAGGTTTATAATAAGTTTATTCTTTCCTCTCACAAATTTATAATAAATATAAACATACAACTTAATATTAATATGTTACGATTAATTTGTGATAGACTGGTGTCTGTACTAGGATTCCCTGTATGACAGATCACCAGCCCCCACCTTCAGACCTTAAAATCGGTAGGTAATATTAGGTGTATGATAAACAAGAGAAGAAAAAAATATAAAGAATATACGAAAAATGTTATGTGTAAAGCTTCTTTGGTATGGTAAAATGGGACAAATTTTACTTTTATTTCTTTTATTTGTAAGAAGAGAAGGATTGTAATATAACAGAGAATGTTGTTTTAAAATAGTGTGGAGAATAAATAATTGGCGAACTGTGAGAACTTTACAGCTTTGGTATAGGTCTTTAGTGTTTGCAATTTCTCAATGGGTGTTTTTTTTTTTTTTTTTTTTTCGGTGTTGGAGTTTTAATAATAATTTAACTTTTTGTTAGATGTATTGTGTTTTTTAAATTTTTTTTTTTTTTTTTTTTTTTTTAATTATTTTTTTTTTTTTTTTTTTTTGGGGGGGAGGGAAATTTTTTAGGTTTTTTTTTTTTTGGTTTTTTTTTTTGCTTTTGGCATCATTTATCAATTTTAACTGGCACATGTTGTTTACATAGGTCAAAAACAGAGTAGGAACTAAAATACTACCTTGTGGTACGCCATGAGAAACGGGAAGATCATCACTAATCCAATTTCCTATTTTAACACATTGCGATCGGTTAGTGAGATAACTTTCAAAGAATTTCAATTGCGAACCTCTGAATCCCAGCTTGTATAATTTGTGAATTAACGTACGTACGTCCCTCTTGGCGTAAAGAGTTTTAAGTTTAATTTCATTTCCACTAACTGCCGACAGGAGGAACAGGCTCGCCGACAGGAGGAACAGGTCCGTCAGTTGAAAGAGCAGCTGCAGAGCGGACAAGAGGAACAGGTCCGTCGTTTGGAAGAGCAGCTGCGGGGCGGACAAGAGGAACAGGTCCGTCGTTTGGAAGAGCAGCTGCGGGGCGGATAAGAGGAACAGGCCCGTCGGTTGGAAGAGCAGATGCTCCTCATGAAGGATCTTCACGCTACCTTCGGGAAGGAGATAAAGGAGGTGAAGGATAGGATTGCTCAGCATGACAACCGCCTGTCGGAAGCTGAAACCCAAATCGCGAAAGCTGAAACCCGAATCGGGATAGCTGAAACCCGAATATATGTATATATATATATATTCTGGCTAGCATACTCCCTGGAGTACGCTAGCCAGTATATATGTGTTTAGTGGGGTGTTGTACATTTTAAAGATGGACAAGATAATTTAATTTTTAATCATTAAAATAAACAGTTAAACATAAATGGCACATAATAACATCTGACACATGAATTAAAATTGAAATTCAAGAATGAAAATATCTTTAGAAGTGTTAATATTATTTTTATTTTAACATAATATAGAAAATGATATTTCTAACTAATAGGTGTCACGCCAATTTAATCTGTGACATTTCTAAACTAAACAATAAAATTTAAGCCCCCCCCCCCCATAGTGGGGAGGAAACACTTGAAAAATAAAGAAATCTAAACAAAATAGTGAACATGTGTTAAGTAACTTAATAGAATAAACTTACGAAAAATCGGACCTACACAACCGCACACCAACTTTAATCACTTCGTGAATAAAATGCTCAAAACTTTTAAGCAATTAAACACGCACGACCATGAATCCCTTCCGAGGCTAAAATTATGAGTAGAATTAAGTTTAATAACAGAGAATTCAGGGAAGGAAATGAAGCTATTTATTATTTTATAAAACTCAAACATATTTGATTATCAAACAAAATAATAATTTTACTATAGTCTTTCTTTAAACATCTTTCTACAACCCTAGCGCGTTCGCTCGATGACGCAGCCGTATGAAGGTTGCGCGGTGGGCAAAATTCAACTCACGGTACGCGTGCAGAAGACATAATTCTGCTTACAGCTAATGTCTGGAATTATTACTAAAATTTTGTAGTCTATTATCGCGTAGGTATTTTCGCTTTTGTACAGGAGTGATGTGTGTGTAAATTTTATATTTCATTATGTACGAACCATTGCTAAGGCTGGAACGGTTGCTATCTCTGCGGTGAAGACGCTTGCTGACACGTTCCAACTGTTCAATGCGAGACTCTAAATGACCCGTCACCTTGCAAAGCTCTTTCACTGCTCCAAGGTTCTCCATGAAGATACGATCCTAGAACACACACACACACACAGTATATATATATATATATATATATATATATATATATATATATATATGACTTAAGAATGAGTAGCTGTAAATAACAACAATATGGGGGTACCATATCGCCCCGTGGATGTCGTAAGACGGGCAGCAGCGTCTTCATAATAACTAAAAAAAGTTACTGTAGTTTCCAAGCCACCTGCGAAGCGTGGCATTTATAATAATTTCCTCCAGACCAAATTTCGTCCACGGCGGCCTGCCTCAACGGAGACTAGCCATCGGCGCAGGACAGGATTACAGTGCCCAAGTGTATGCGCAAGCACAGGTGCACTCGCTATTCCCTCACTCTCGTAATCCGATGGGACGGTAAACCGACACTACCGGAGAGAGATCAGGCGCAGACGGGGGTAAGACACCGCCAACTTCCTGACTCCGGGCAACTACTGAGAATTTCTTGACGGAAAAACTCAATAAGCAATTTTTGGCCCGATCCGGGATTCGAACCCAGGACCTCACGATCAGCAGTCGCACTACTACAACCACTAGACCAACGAGGCAATTATGAAAATAATGCCCTCTAGAGGCAAACCATGGAGGAGGCATATGTACAGTACTGGAATTTTGATAGGTTATAATGTTATGAATAATTGAAATCTCCTCGTTGAGCACACAGTGATGGCCTTATTTGTTCGTAGATTGTCGACGTCAAGATCATTCCTTGGGGGAGGCCTATGTCCAGCAGTAGACTTGTGATGGGCCGTAATGATGATGATGATGATGTTGTCGACGTCAAGAAACTAGGGACTGGTGTCGTTATGGGGCAGCGTAATATATCCTGTCTTCATTACAGCTAAGAAATTTAAGTTATTTTACAAATATCGCGTTTGATTTTAACTTTTTTTAAAATCCCGACATTTCGAACACTTTACAGCACCATCGTCACGGTGGGTGGGGAAACTTAGGTGTTTGACGTACTGATGTCATAAATATCGAACTTGATCCTTCTAAAAGTTAATAAGTTAAAATTAAACGCGAAAAATCCGTAAAATCCAACCTTGTTGACGACGAGGAATTTGGGGATGGTGTCGCCGTTAGGCAGCGTAATGTCGCCCGCTTCTTTGACGGCCTCGGGCAGTACTGTTCGCACTTCCTGGGCGATGACGCCGGTGTCGGCGTGCGGCGCTGCCCGTCGCGGGTCGTGACCCAGCAGCCCTGAATGCTCCGCGAACGATGGGTCATAGTTGAACCTGTAGACGTACGTTATATTGCAGGTTTCCTCTCGCTTTTTATGTGGTTAAATGCCTACGCATACCTGCCTCACCAGGCTAAGGACTGGTTATGTCGAATTCGCACCTACTAAAACTTTATGGTTTTCCAGCTTGACCGCATATCAGCATAAACACATTCTTGGCGTTGGTATGGATGCCAGGCGACAACTCTTCCCTTATTCCTAAAAATTGTCTTCTAAGGCAAGGCACGTCCTCCCCACACGTTCCTAGACGTTCAGAGCCTCGGCTCTGGCCCCGCGCGCGCGCTACCTCATAGGTTCCTTTTCTGTTAGGACAACACTATCATCAAGAGAAGGGCTGTATCGAACGCCTTGGCCACGACGTCTCCGAGCCGTATTTTGGACTATTACGGGTTAACAAAATCGATTATGACTGGAATGGAATTATATATAATATACAATATGTAACGTAATTAACGCACACTCTCAGACACCCCAATTAGTATATTATGTTATAATCATAATAAAAGTAAAAAAAGTAAAGTTACAGCCTATATACGTCCCACTGCGGGGCACAGGCCTCCCCTCATTTCTGAGAAGGTTTTAGGGCAAGGAAGTGTCCGCCGCGCTGTCCCAATGCGTGTTGGCGAACTTCACAGGCCTTCGATATTACGAATTTTATTCTTATTCCTCAGACATGCTGGTTTCCTCACGATGTTTTCCTTCACCGCCGAGCACGTGGTAAATTAGCACTTAAAATTGTTAAACAATTTCATTGGTGCCGGCGGGGATCGAACCCGGGTTACTCGCATTCTGTTATATTTACAGCGAGCGTTAACCATCTGAGCTACCACGGCTCTTTAATCATAATACATACATTGAATTTTTAGTTAAACATGGAAGAATGTTGTGGTCACAGTACAAATCCACGAACGCAAAGACTTTAACGTGCCTGAAATAAAGTTCATTTTTCTTTATTTTTATTGAATGACAGAATTAGTAACAATACAAATAAAACTGCACTCTTAAAGGTCTTATTGCCTTAAGTTACGGTCCATTTCAATTTGTTTTGACTGTACAGATTTAGTGTGACTGTAATTTACATAGTTTTAATTATTTTTGGGATAAAAAATTACCTATATTAAAAATTATAGGAATCGATTTAGTAAACGATTCAGAACAAACTACTTTCTCAAAGTGCTTTAATTATGTTACGTGTTGTATATATATATATATATACTTATATGTAATCCCGTTCAGTATCACCGACACGACTGTGTGCATGAGGGTAGTTTTATTGAAACCTATCATATCACGTAACGTATCTTTTTCATCGGGCACGGGCACGGGCACGGGTAGGTTGAGTTAGTGCCTCTATGTAATCTGCTGCAAAGCAATAACTCTCGATTATTCGAAAGTTGTCGCCGTAGTTTAATCTACTACCAGTACTACAGGGAGTACTGGTAGTAGATTAAGTAGTTTGCTTTTACTGGTAGTAGTTTAAAAGTACTGGCGGGACTGCTTCTCCGTCTGGGTAGGTAGCACCCACTTACTTATTTCTGCTGCCAAATAGCAGATCTTACACAGCTGTGGTCCGGTCTAATGGTATAAAAAGCTAGTACAATTACAAACTGTACGGCATTCCATATCGGTCCGCAGCGGTGACAGCGCACCTGTAGGGACTTGTAATTGCAATAGTCTTTCACTATTATGTGGGACTGTAAGTTCGTTTGCGTCTTCAGTTTCATTAAAAAATCTAGGCTAGCTATGACACTTCATACTGAAAAACTTGGTTAACCTCAAAAGCTTTTACCTATTTAATGAAAACATAATAAGCTGTACTAAACTGCATAGAGTAAATGTAAAAAAATATATTATATTCAAAAAATGCAGGTAGTAATAAAATATTAGCTACCATATTATATGTTTCTTTATACTATCGGGGAAGCCCATAGAAATAATTCGCTTATTTCGTCTCTACAATGGAAAGGATGTGTTAGATCAGAGGTTCAGCAACCACTAATGTACCACTTTCTCGTCGTCGGCGAATTAAAACATCTTGAGAAATTCGTCATGTGTAAGGAATGAAAAATATTTCTAGTACCTGTAAGATACATTAACACGCGTTGGAACAGCGCGGCAGATCATTATTTCCCCTCTATCTCACCTCAGTTATAAGAGATGCCCAGATGTAGAAAGTAATATCTATTAGGAAATTACCTTACATTTATTTGGTTTTTCAACGGCAGACGTTATTTTTTCTTTCAACATGACCTCAATTAGTCTCGTCGTTGTAGTTGCCTTTATCCATACCATTATAATCGTTAGTGAAACGTGATCGATCGTGTAACTTTACAACGACGAGACTAATTGAGGTCATGTTGAAAGAAAAAATAACGTCTGCCGTTGAAAAACCAAATATATATATTATATATATATATATATATATATATATATATATATATATATATATAGGGGGATAAGTCGCTCGCGTCCGTGGCTTTGACCCCTTTTCCCCCACCCTACACGTGTCCCCCGGGTGGTGCTAAATGAGCGACATGCCGATACCACAGACTCGGCTCCACGCCGTGGTAGCGGCGTTAAATATACCACCCCATTTCGCACCATGAGGAATCGAATTAAAGAAATGGCCCCGAGTTCCCGGCGCCCCTTTAATGGGGCAGGGGTGCGAAGAATCTCCGGGAGGAAAACCAGCGACGAGGTTCGCCACCCGTCACGTTCTGTCTCCCGGAGAGGCGAAAAGTGGATTGCAGAGGCCCGTCTGGCTACGTTGAATGTATGTGGGGCAATGAATGATAAAATGGATGAAGTATGCGATATGATGTATGATAGAGGAATAGATGTGTTATGCGTAAATGAGACGAAAAGGAAGGGGAAGGATGTCACTACACATGGCATGTATACCGCATACTGGTCTGGTGTAGACGAGATCGAGCGGGCATGCCAGGGAGTAGGTATCATCCTTTCAGAAAGAATGGGCCAATGTGTGAAAGAGTATGAATGTGTAAGCCCAAGACTGCTATGGATACGAATGAAAGTGGGCTTAAAGAAGTTGTTTGTGTTAGGGGTCTACGCCCCAGACATGTCTAAGCCCACTTATATCCGAGAGCAGTTTTGGGAAATGGTAAGGATGGTGTTAATGAAGTGTAAGGGAAATGAAAATATTATTATGCTAGGAGATTTTAATGGAAGGGTTGGGGTCAGGAGGCTTGGTTATGAAAGGATATTGGGAACGTTTGGTGATGAAAGTATAAATGAGAATGGTGAAAGTCTCCTCACCGTATGTATGGAACATAATCTTTTTGTGACGAACACTTGCTTTCGCCACAAGAGGATTCACATGTATACTTGGGAAAGAGGTGACGATAGAAGCATGATAGATTTCATAATTGTGGATGAAAGATTGAGGGGCGCAGTGGTAGATACGAGAGTTTACCGGGGTTCTAACGTAGGAACGGATCATTATTTAGTTTTATGCCGAATTAATGGTCTATTCAGGCGTTGGCGCCATCGATCGTCTGTGTCTACCACTGCGTTACAGCGTATTAGAACAGAAAGGTTACAAGATGAAAGTGATAAAAACAAATTCAAATGTAGACTGAAAGAAAATATAAGTGGTTTGGATGAATTATCTATGAAGGAGTTAGACTTGGAAAATATATGGCAAAATGTAAGGAAAGGTTTAGTGGATGCAGCTACCGAAGTATGTGGTGTTAGTAAGAGAAAGAATGAAAGGAAAAATAATACGTTATGGTGGGATGATGAGATACGTATGGAAGTTGAAGCAAAGAAGAGAGCATGGCTAGATTTACTAGCAACAAAGGCTGGTAATTCTAGTGGTACGAATGGTGATATTGAAAGAAAAAAGGCAGTCTTTAGACATCTTAATAAGAGAGTAAAAGAAGTAGTTGAAAGAAAAAAGCAAGAAAGAACGGATAAGAAAGATAGAAGAATATCGGATAACTTCCAGGCAAATATTAAAATGTTCTGGAAACTTGTAAGAACTGCCAGGGGACATTCAAAACAGCCTATGATGAATGCTATAAGAGACGAGAATGGCTATATTCTGAATGATGTAGTTTTGAGTTTAAAGAGATGGAAGGAATATTTTGAAAGCGTGTTTATGAGTGAGGAGACAACGTGTGTATTAAGTGAAGTAGAAACACCGAAAGAAGAGGAAAGAGGTAGCGAGATAAGTATAGATGAAATAATGAAAGCAATGAAAAGCATGAAAGCAGGTAAGGCTGCCGGATATGATAGAGTTTCACTCGAAATGCTAAGGGCTGGAGAGGAAGTGGTGGCAGGCCTGCTGCACACCTTGTTTAATTTATGCTGGGAACTGAAGCGGGTACCGGTAGACTGGTGCAAAGCCGTGATAGTCCCAGTATATAAGGGAAGAGGGTCGCAGCAGGGCTGTAAAAATTACCGTGGCATCAGCCTTCTTAGCATTGTGGGAAAACTGTATGCTAAGGTACTGATTGAAAGGGTCGTGAAAGAAACTGATGGAAAAATTTGGGATGTGCAAGCGGGATTTAGAAAGGGAATGGGATGTACAGATCAAGTCTTTTCCATGCGCATGATCGCGGAGAAGTTTCTGGCCAAAAACCAAAAGGTTTTTTGTGCGTTCATGGACTTGGAAAAGGCCTATGACAGAGTGGATAGGGATTTGGCAAACACTGAACTCATTTGGGTTGAGCGCTTGCTTGATACAGGCATTGGAGTCTCTTTATAAGGCCTCTAGTGCTTGTGTTAGGATCAACGGGGTCTACTCGGACTGGTTTGACATCCATAAAGGTGTCAGACAGGGCTGTGTGGCTTCCCCGTGTCTGTTCAACCTATTTATGGACAGTTGTTTGCAAAATTTGAAGTGAAGAAGGTAAGAATGGGTGAGTTAACCGTCAAATGCCTTTTGTACGCCGATGATCAAGTTATTCTTGCGTCGTCGGCGGCCGAGTTGCAAATGATGGTTACATTAATGAACGGATCATTAAAAGAAAGGGGTATGAAAGTGAACGCAAGTAAGACGAAGGTTATGGTTTTTGAAAGAGAAGAAAGTAAAACGATTTGTGAAATAAGAATAGAAGGGGAGTTGATCGAGCAAGTAGATGAGTTTGTATATTTGGGCTGCGTATTTAGCAGGGATGGGAGATATGATAAGGATATAGAACGACGAGTGAATTCGGGAAATAGAGTAAATGGGGCCTTGCACTCTATTGTGAAGAGTCAAAATGTGTCGAAAAAGGCACGTATGGCAATTCACAATGCTGTGTTGGTCCCTACTTTAACGTATGGTAGTGAAAGTTGGGTGTGGCAGAAGAAGCACGAGAGTGGAATAAACGCAGTAGAAATGCGGTCGTTAAGGAGTATGTTAGGGCTGAATCTGAATGACAGGGTAAGAAATTGTGTAATAAGAGAAGAGTGTGGTTTGCAAGATGATGTGACCAGGATTAAGAAAGGAATGCTTCTGTGGTTTGGTCATGTGGAAAGAATGAATGAGGAAAGAGTGACAAAGAAAATTTATGGTGCAGAAGTGAACGGCAGAGTTGGAAAGGGACGTCCTAGGCGAAAATGTATCAACCAAATTGGCGATTTATTGAAAACGGGCCAAATTAGGAGTACTCTTAACCGACGAGCATGTATGCGTAGGTGTATGGATGTGAAGGAGGCAAGAGAGGTGTGTCAGGATCGTGCCAAATGGAAGTTTGTAGTCTCTGCCTACCCCTCTGGGTGACAGGCGTGAGTGTTTATGTATATATTATATATATATATATATATATATATATATATATATATATATATAAATTACGTGTCACGTTGTTTGTCCACGATGGACTCCTAAAATACTTAACCGATTTTAAACAAATATGCACACCATGTGCAGTTTGGTCCAATTTGAGAGATAGGATAGTTTTTTTGTCCATGAGTGACCCACAATTTTTTTTGCGAATTTAAGGATTTTTATAGGACATGACAAAGGGTCGTCGAAAAGGGCAGAACAACGTCTGCCTGGCAAGCTAGTTACGTATATATATAATTGAACCATTTTTAATACTCACTTAACCACCCGTATGCTTTGTACGTTACGAAGCTGTTGCGCAGTGTCCAGCTCTTCGATATTGTGCTTAGCGCGGGCGTCTGATGGGTGCACTATGTGGCCCATAACTTTTAAATTGCCTGCAATATATATATATGTCACGTTTAGAATATTTCGATTGTTTAACTGTTGTGTCTGTCGAAAGGAAAATTAAGAACACAACAGGAAAATTATAAGAAACAGTCCGTCTTACTTTGGTCTATAAAATATGTATTTATATAATACTTTAAATTGGACTGTAAACGATGGAAACGTTACTACTAACCCATATCATCTTGTGGCTATCGTGAGAGGCAATAGATAGAAACTGACACAGGAGATGGGTAATATCTTCTGAGGATGCCTGTGTTCAGAAGTTGTCCTTCACTGCTGGCCGTATGAGGACGCTCAAGGTCGCTCAGCGAGCTGTGGAGAGGGCTATAAAACTATAAACTCAGAAATGAGGATATCCGCAGTAGAACCAGAGTGACCGACATAGCCCAACGGATTATTAGCTGAAGTGGCAATGGGCCGGCCATATTACTCGTAGAACCGATAACCGATGGGGAAAAAGGTTCTCGAGTGACAGCCTCGTACCGGTAGGCATAGTGTAGGGCGACCCCCCACTAGATGGAGTGACGACCTGGTAAAACATGCTGTATGTCGATGGACGCAGGTGGCTCAGGACCGTGCTTTATGGCATTACTTGGGGCAGGCCTATGTTCAGCAGTTGACTTGTGAAGGGCTGTAATGATGATGATATGTTCAGCAGTGGATTTTTGATAGGCTGTAACAATAACGATAAAACACTTAGTTAATATTTTATATAGTTACCGTTAATAACGCAAGACTCGTCGGGGCGGTCCGTGTTAATGCCGACGCGCCCGTTGTAGTGCACGCTGTTGTCCGATACGCCACGCTGCCACCAGTTCTCCGAGCAGTCCGATTCGAATTGCCCGGGGTTCGAGGCCTGCATTGGTTTTATTTTAGATGCTTTATAGTCAACACATGGTATAAGTCTAAGTAGCTCAGACGCTAAATGCTTGCTGTAAATTTAAAAGTACGCGTGCAACCCAGGTTCGATTCCCACTGGCACCAATGAAATTGTTAAATTCAATTTTAAATGCTGATTTACCACGTGATGGATAGTAAAGGAAACTATCGTGAGGTCTGCATGTCTAAGAAATATTTCTATAATGACATGTTCGCCACCAAGTTCAAGGCTTACATTGGAGCAGTGCCGCTTTCCCAGTGGGACGTATGAAGGTTTAATTTACTTGATATAAAATTTATTGTAACATGAGATGAAATTAGCACTAACGTCTAATATACAAATGGGTTGCTGGCAGTCGTTTTTCATTAAAACGCTATATTTAAATATTTAAAAAGTGAATCACTTATACAGTTGGAGTGTTAGTCATGAAATGTCCAAAATTTAGAACGGCAATTATTTACTGTATCTGTTTTAGCCACCAAGCAGCTGTGATCCTACAGTTGGTCTCTGGCTTGAAAGGAGGAAGATCCCAGAGCAACTACATAAATAACGTGACGCATTCCGCCCTCTAGGCAGACCAGACAGGCATCAGTGGTTTTGTTTAATTTGAATTTATTTTACGGTGTCCTTGAACGTGGTCATTTACTATCAGGTGGATTGCTTAATGAGGTGCATGTATTACTATTTTGTATAAAAATAATAATAAAAATATCTTCATTGCATCCTTAATATGAAGTGCACGTGAAAATCTATAAAAACAAACTAGGTTTACAAACATGTATTTCTCCAATTATTATGAAACTACTGACATATAAACTAGAAAATGCCTGTATCTTAGATCTCAGGGGTTTTCTCCCAAGCATAATACAAAGCTCAAAGTACAGAGCAGTGAGGTAATAACGTTACTATATTTAACTTAAGGGGAGATAGTAAGTCAGCTCAAATTCTAATTTTGCCCTCACTTCCCCGCGCGTCGTATGCTATGTACCGACATGTTTGTAATCACTAATACTGTAAGTAGATAGGGCGTTAGATACTTATTTCATTAGGTTTATCATATTTGTGCCTGTTTCTTAACGCCAACCCAGTCGCTTCTTATTTTTATCACGGTTATTTCCCATTTTAATTTTACGTCGTCCTATTGCGTAATGTGTATTCTGATCGTAAGAGACACAAATTCTCCCTTCAAAAGCCTAAGCTATACTAACGGAGCGACAGGAATCAAGCTTAAAGACGCCGATAGTTTAGGTAATTTCTTTTTACAGTGAAAATAATGGTATTTAAAAAAAAGTAAAATAACATAAGCACTGCTTTATAATTAGTTCAGTTAGTATGCAAAGTTTCATGATCTTATTTAAAGTATTTTACGAATAACAGCGGTTTATTGTTTATTTTGGAGGTAACTTTGGACTTATTTTTCTATCGAGAAAATTTTACGGAATTGTGTTTTCGTCTAACATAGTCCCATCGAGCATTTAACCTAGAGCGGTATTGTTATTTGTTTTGTAAGAAAAGAAATTCCGCCAAAACGCTGCGCCGGTCGCTGCGCTCTGATTGGCCGATTCAAAGTCAAGTATTGCACTAGAGCTGTCTAATAAAATATTTGTTACTGTAAACCGTAAAAATCGTAATCGTAAGTTTAATATCTATCTCGCGAGTATGTAAACTGTTGAAAGATTGTGAACCCGTAACATACTGCTTACAATGTAACGCATTATTTTTCGGTAGATTGTAATAATATATCTTAAAATAATATATCTTATGTTGAAATTAGTCAAAAAGGTTGTTTTGAGAGAAAGTTGTTATAAAGCCTAAACTTTTTTTATGGTTTCGTACCTGAAAAAGAAAAAACGAAACCCTTATAGGTCAGATAAGTATTATGGGACCAGGTAAGTAGGTACATAACGGATTTATATATAATTTTTATTTAGGACTATTAGGTAAGAGTATATAGAGGTGTAAGTACGTGTGTGTATGTTTATATGTGTGTTCGAAATAATAACTTTTAAATGAAACTTCCATACTTAAAAAATATAGTAATAAATGAAATAAAATGAATTTAAGGCTATAAATGAAATTATAAAAAATTAATGAAATAAAACTATTGTATCATATGAAAAATTAAGGAAACACTCGCAAAATGTCAATATTTTTGTTTATTTAGTTATCGATCATAGCTTTGGTAGGTATAATAAATTCAAGATTTAAATGCTACTTATGCGTTACTATTACTGATTTTTAAAGTGAATTAATTTAGTATAAATTCTTCTCACTGCTTGTTTCTCGTTATATTTCTTTCTTTTGCTGAGGAATGTTAGTCTCGTATCTACATATTTTTTTATGATACTTTGAGCTAAATCAGTTATATGGTTTGTCTCTTCTGTGTAATTTTGGTGGTACTCATATTCGGGAAATAGTTTTTCTCCTACAAAACTACTCATTGTTTTGTGAACTAAGAAGTCACTTGTACATCGTCGTACTATGTCTACACTCTCAATGAAAAATTTTTTTATAAATTGCTCCGAACGGCGGCAAATTTTTTGCACATTAACTGATGGATATATTAAGCCCCCCCTTATCTCTGTAAAAAATTAAGCTTCTCTTATTTTCTGACAAGCATACTAATGCTTGCACGCAAGTGGCGCATTTAATACGTTTAATTAGTGCGCTAGACACACCCTGCTATGTATTCTATCACATTCTCAGAAAACTGCGAAAGCTCGACAGTTTCCATCCGAATATTAAATTCTTCTTCGTTTTCATGATCATCATCATTAACAGTCTGCTCAGTTTCGCTGTGAGTGGTCAAGTTTATTCTTGTGATTGCCGAAGAACAATTAAGAATTGATATCTTCTCTAACGGTATGCAGTTACCCGTCGATGTTTGTAATAATTCTGTATGAATTAAGCATTTCTTGTAAATGGCTTCGAATAAGCGGGATGTAGGGTTGTCATTTGAACCACCATGTGATCTCATATTAGCAAAAAAAGAGTTCTATGTGATCCTGTGAAATTTTGTGCATAGGTAAGTATCTTATAGGACAATTTTCATCACAAATTAAATCCTTAAATAAACTTTTAGTACTTTCGATTGCAACAAAGAAACCTAGAAATCCAGTAAACCGTGGTGATTCTATCAATTTTACGTGTTGCGTCTTCTTTCGTATTAGTATTTTTGTAGTGACAGTCACCAAAAATCTTTTGCATTCCTCTAGTCTATCAAAGATTCTAGTATGATTATCAAAATTCAAAGCCCGTTTGTATCCATATCCGTGAACTCTGGAATCTAAAATATCAAATAAATCGTTTATGAGTAGGATCATTCTGATTGTCGCACCAACTCCTTGAAAGTCTGTCAATTTTAACTCTACTTCACAAAAATCTAATGCTGTAGCTACGCTGCGACTGAACAATTGTGTAGCTAATTTTACTTTCATTATATTCCTTTTAAAATAAATGTGTTCAGCGCGTAACTTATTGGCTAGGTGAAAATTCTCTTTTTCTTGGAGCTCCTGTAATAATTTTAGGTAATCCCATCGTATAGTGTTGCCATTCTCATCTTGAAATTCTTGATATTTTTCAAAAGTTTTTCTGACCAATTTGAGCATATGCACGGGATCCAAAAATACGAAAACATTAGCACTCGTCACAGGATGTTTAAAGCTCGTCTTTAGCTGCTCTTTTTGTAATTTGCATCCTAGTTGCTTTGCCATTGCCAAGTTTGCTGGACAGCCGTCGAAGGTCAACGCTTTGACAGTAATTTTGTTTTCATGGCACAGCTCAAGAGCAATATTTACCAGGTTAGCTTTTTGTTCTCCACTGGTTTTATCAACTAGAAAGTAACCAATTGGTACTTTGAAACTTCCGTTGAATGGGACTACTAAAAGCACTAGTGCTTCTGTGCATTCATTATTGCAGTCAGTTTCCAGTTGATTACCAAAATCCACGTAGCCGAATGAACGTTGAGTTGATGGTTCATATTCTATCTTGCTTTTTATTTTCATCTCATCGAATACAAGGGTATACATCAACTCTTCTTTGGATGTTTCTGCTCTGGCTTTTAAGGCGTTCAAAGCCTCTTTCGTGAAACCCGGCCTACCGTCCACAGTCTGGTACCATTTTGTTAGTGTTCGCATGGAAGGTAAACAAGTATTGAAGGTATTTCTTACATATTTGTAAGCTTTTGATGAATAAAAATTCAATGTGAGAGCGAAAGTTCTCAATTCAGACGAATATTTCTTTTTAATAATTTTTCCCGTTTTACATTTCAGATACTGACGATGAACGATTTCTTGATTAAGTACACCAATTTTTTTTTAAATATCTGCGTCTTCGGCTTTAATGAGATTTTTCTTTTCTAATTCCTTTATAAATAATACTTTTAAAGATGCCACTCTTTTTTTATAGTAACGGACTTTGTCCCTTAATACCTTAATTGTTTTATTTTTATGCTTAACTTGACTTGTTAACTGCAAAACACGTCTGCAAAGACGTTTTTTGGTCGGAGAGTGAAACTTTGAAGGAGTTTCAGGTTCGGTAGCTTTTCGTTTAGTTGCCCTTGGTGTAGTTGATATCGATTCCTTTTGAAAAGATGATGATGGTATCGGACTTGCACCTTCTGGAACTGATATGTTACTCTGCAAAGAAAACAAAATAATACATATATCGAGTCTGTAAAGACAATAGGTTTGATAATGAAGTTGAATAAAATAGATTATTTATTATATATCTTACCACTACAAGCAAATTTAGTGTAGGAATTGTGGTATCAAACAAGCGGCGGCGACTTTTTGATGTATAAAAACAATCTTCTGTAAAATGTCTAGAGCAAATGACACTATAATTACTTGGAAACCAGTTTTCCCTTTTTTGCACAATCTATTCATTGTTTTTTAAGATTCGGATCCTTAGGAGACCTAAAAAAAAACAAATTACAAAAAATGTTGCACTCGCACAGTTCCCGTTTCCGAGGGGAAAACCGGGATATAAACTGTCTGTGTGCTAAATTTCATTCAAATTCGTTCAGTAGTTTTTAGCGTGACACGCAAACATCCTAACATATAAACATCCAAACTTTCAGATTTATATTTTTAGTAGGGTTTGTATTATTATTAGTAGGATATTTTTGTATTGAGGTCTGGTCTGCTTAAATTAATCGACAAATAACTCACTACCTACTACTCACTCTAGATCGACTTATTTAAACTTTTTCTTGAAATGTATTCAATTCATTACATCTACTTATTTGTTTAAACAAATAACCTTTTCCGGTAAATATCCGGTAAAATAAAAAAAAACCGGTATAATCCGGTAATTTGATTATGACTCAGCACTAGTAAACACGTAATAAATAAAATGAGATGGCTTATATTGGTTACACCTAGGTAAGAGCAAGACGCATAGACAAGCGTCCAAGTGATTCATACTAAATGGCCAGTTTAACTTGAGCCGTATTAAATGGATGTAAATTGATACAAAATCAAAGTTTATTGATACTTACCGATGAAACGTGATTCCGTCTGTTTTATAATTCGATGTCTTGCTGTTTTTTCAACACCACCGAATAGAACAACACGACATTATGGGGTTTAATATACCAAACTGAATATTTTCGGGAGTATCGGGGGACGTACACACAGATCACTTGTTGGTGAGGTACTGTTTTAGGGCGAGCGTGAATTGCTATTTATCAGTGACAAATCACTGATCAGTTTCGGAATTGGATGGCTCACATTACTACTCTATTCAGGTTAAATGCTCGATGGATAGTCCTTAACATTAATCCTCAACTTTACCATATATTTATTTCAAAATTAATGCTGCAATACTTTCGGCATAACGGAGGATCTTGCTAAGCCATTTGAGGTTATATTTCCCCTTAAGGGGATAGAGTAAGTCAGCTCAAATTCTAATTTCGTCCCCACTTGCCCGCGCGTCGTATGCTATGTACCGATATGTTTGTAATCACTAATACTGTAAGTAGAAAGGTCGTTAGACACTTATTTCATTAGGTTTATCATATTTATGCCTGTTTCTTAACGTCAACCTAGTCGCTTCTTATTTTTATTACAGTTATTTCCCATTTTAATTTTACGTCGTCCTGTTGTGTAATGTGTATTCTAATCGTAAGCGACACAGCTTCTCCCTTCAAAAGGATCCAGAGCGATACTAACGGGTAGTGTCAACCGGTTTTAAGAAAACCTGGTAAAAACCGGTTTTTGATGAAACCGGTATGAACCGGTTCTAGTTAAATAACCGATTTATTTTGCCTGTTGGCAGCCCTATAACTTTACAACGTGTATCTGAATCCTTATGAATAGCAGTGGTTAGGAAATGCCTAAAATGTCGCCCGATAGCAATAGGGGATTTACCAATCAGAGACAATTGTAAAATTCTGCAATTGTCTTTGCAAAGCATAGCGATAGTCCGAGCGAGTTAAAGTTTGTGTCGTATTTTATTGCCTAAAATAATTGTTTATGCTTTGTTTATAACAAGAAAAAGAACTACAAAAAGTAATTAGCATTATTATGTTTTGTTTAAATAAAAAAAGCAGTTTCATGTCAATTTTACCTGTGGTCTATAAAGTAACCTATTAATTTGATCGATTTTTTCGTTTTCAGGATGCCAAAAGTAAAAGGAAATTCTCTTACAAGAAATCATTTTGAAAAATTGAATAATGATTCGGCTAAATGTCACTTATGTGGAAAAATTATCTAGGTTGTAAAATTGGCGGAGGGACATCTAATATGTTAGCTCATCTCAAGAGAAGTCATCCACAGGCAACAGTGCCAATGAATCCTGAGAAGCATTTCATTAATAACAATGAGCAATATGTCCCGCTCACATCAAATAATACTGACCAAGAGCATCCATGGAAAACCTTTATTTCAAAGTAAGTTGAAAATGACGATGGGGAGTAACAAAAAGAAAATAGATGAATATCTTACATTGATGATCGCCACCGATTTCCAGCCATTCCCCGTAGTTGAAGACAAAAGCAAAAGCTTTTGTCTCCAACTACGGAGAATGGCTAGTAGCTTTTGTCTATCCTTAATAAGCCTTAAATCCTACCTATGTACTGCCTTCAAGAGAAAAAAATTAGATATGAATTGATGCCAGTACGCAAATGTGAAGAAGCAGCTTGAGAGTTTCTTAAAAATGTGGAATACGTCGCACTAACCACAGATCTATGGTCAAATCAGAACATGGAGTCAGTTATAAAGGTTACGGTACGGTTTACATTTTGACAACATCGGAAGTTTCTAATTCGCAGACTTCTGAAAATTTGGCAGAAATCATGAAGAACATCTTAATGGAATGGAAACTTCATAACAAAGTTGCTGCTATTGTGACTGATAATGCTTACAATATGAAAAAAATGTGTGATTTGCTTGAGATACGGCACATGCCGTGCTTTGCCCATACTCTTAATTTAACCGTCGAAGAATCGTTACAGCTCGCACAGGTGGAAGAAGTTATCAAGAAATGCAAAGCAATTGTGTTTTTCTTTTTAAGAAGGCGTCTGTTGGATGGCGCGCTCTGAAATCAGAACAGATAAAAAGAAACCCTAATGCTCAGCCACTAAAACTAATCCAAGATATTACGTCAAGTAAATTTCATATGATGACCAGAATACTAAAATTGTCCGATGAAGTGGCACTTGTATGCTGAAAAGTAAATCAGTCGCCAGAATTCCTCAATTCTTCTGAAGAAAAAATTGTCTAAGACGTCGTTAATGTTTTAGGCATATTGGAAGACGCAACTAAATTGGTGAGTGATGACCAATACCCAACGAGTTCTTTAGTGATTCCCGTAATTTCCGGATTATTTGAAAACCTCATCACCATCGAAATATCACTCGAAACAGATGTAGGCAAGATGTTCCGCTCAGCAGTACGGCGTAACATGAGCAGCAGATTTTTGGCATACAAAACAAGAAGCTTTCGTCAAATTGAAAATATGTTATCTGCTAAAGACGGGGTGAGGCGGGAGTTGGGGAGTCTGATACTGGACTACAATAATAAAACCGATGCCTCATCCTCTGATCCAATACCTAAGTCCGAGCAGGTGACAACAAAGAAGCGGGGAATTTCAGACTCCTTAAAACAAAGAAGGACTGAGAGTGGTGGTCCAAATGCGACTGCTTCTGCAGGAAACATACTGCTCATGTATATGGAAAACGAGATTGACCCTGGGCGAGAAGACAAACATACAGAAGTCGCTGGCACTTACTGGAAAACAAATAAACATTTGGCGCCGCTTAATAACATGGCTTTAAAATATCTGTCAGTGCCAGCGACTTCTGTACCTTCGAAACGAATGTTTTCAACTTCCGGCTATTTCTTATCATCGTGAAGGAATAGGTTGCTAGGTGATGCAGTAGATCAACTTTATTTTATCCACCAAAATTATGATTTAATTATTTAACTAAAAATAAAACTAAGTTTTTTTATTGAATAAAAATTAATAAGTATTAAAAAAAAACCTCAATTTTTTCATTGTAATATGGATTCTAAAAACCTAAAAAAGAACCTAAGAAAACCGATTTTTTAAAATTTCTAATCGGTTTATACCGGTGCTGAAAATTGTAATCGGTTGACATCGCTACTAACGGGGCGACAGGAATCAAGCTTACGCGCCAATAGTTTAGGTAATTTCTTTTTACAGTGAAAATAATGGTATTTAAAAAAAAGTAAATAACATAAGCACTGCTTTATAGTTAGTTCAGTTAGTATGCAAAGTTTCATGATCTTATTTAAAGTATTTTACGAATAACAGCGGTTTATTGTTTATTTTGGAGGTAACTTTGGATTTTTTTCTATCGAGAAAATTTTACGAAATCGTGTTTTCGTCTAACATAATCCTTAACATTAATCCTCAACTTTACCATATATTTATTTCAAAATTAATGCTGCAATATTTTCGGCGTAACGAAGGATCTTGCTAAGCAATTTGAGATTATATTTCCCCTTAACAGTTTTTGGCGTTATTTGATTTATATTAATGTGCTTATGCAAACATCACCAACTAGTATATGGTAAATCACAATAGTAGGTAGTTTTTAGTAGTAGTTGGCAGCCCTAGCACACATTATTCACGCACTCATATACGTACGCACGCACACATACACGTACTCACGGCTATCTGGTCTTACTCACCCGTACGATAATCCGGTCGCTCGCGTGCGCGGCGATCATGTAATCGTCGCGCGTTGCGTGCGCTCGTAGCGCCACCACTAGCTGGAAATGGCGCTGGTCGGGGTTCGGACGGCCTTTCTTGCGCATGTTGTTGTTCGTCGTTTCCGCGAAGTGGAGACGTCCGACTGTAACTTTGGCCCCCTCACGCCGGAGTTCAACTCTGCAGTAATAAAACAAGATATGTATTATAGAAAAACGTTTTAGCTTAATAATAGCAAAAAGCCATGTAAGTTCTAGAGTGGCAATCGCGTACTGGCAGAGTGCAATTTGACATTACACATCATTAGAACGTCATTTTGGATGTGATATTATATGAAATGATGTTCTGATGAGGTATGCAGAGTCCATAGACAGAATAGATAGAACATAGAGTCAATAAACAGAATAGATATGACAGACAGAAATCTCAATGCATAGGATAGACACGGAATGTTATGATAGATCTATATAATACGCAAGTCGTCATCGGCTGCAAAGTTTAAGTGGATGTGAAGAGTTTGACTCTGTGGTTGCTAATTGTTAACGGCATGCGATTAAGAAGTGAAATTAGGGGAATAATTTAAAAACCTTTTTTCAAGAATTAAGATACTTACGGTACTGGATGAAAAGGTTTCTTTGTTCTATCTGATTGACTTTGTTCAACTCTGACTTCCTGAGTTGGGTCCTCAGCCTGTAAGAAAATGTTTTAACATAGATTTCAATGTATTAATGATTTTTAGAATACAACACTCAACTATTCCTTTTCGGAAATCTGCTATACTGTCCGCACGATAAATTATATGATTTTGTCAAACTGATTGCAAAGAGTAAACTAAAAATAGCTTAACTATTTATTTATTTCAAGTTGAATCATTAATATAATATTATGATCGCAATTTGTTGTTCCATTCATTTATTCACGACTACATTGTATCAAATACATTAGTCCAGGGATTACGAACCAATGGCACGCGTGCCATCGTTGGCACGCGATACAATATTTTGGGCACGCCACCAATCTCAAAGTTCAATATGAAGTATTATATTACAAATGAACGCGAGTGATCCTAGTTACACCGTATACTACTATTATTAATGACGTATAGTTCGTTTTATCATCATCATCATTACAGCCCTTCACATGTCCACGCCTCTCATAAGTTCTCATAAGTTCACGCATAGTAATAGTCAATTTCGTTGAGACAACTGTATTTAAAAGTTCACTATAACAGCCCAATATAAGTTATTTGTCATCTAATCTGCAACAACACACGTCACACTAATGTAACTATAATTTGAATTGCGCATATAACTGATTTACTATTATTTTCCCAATATTCACGATGTCAAAATTTTAATTAACTAATTAAATATTTCTTTAGAAAAATGGCACGTTGATACGTAAAGGTTCGCCACGCCTGCACAAGTCTCTCAAAAACCTACTGCTTACATAGTCGTCTCTTACGGCTAGTTTGTATTGTTTGTTAGTTTGTGTGAAATTGTAAAATTGTTTTAATTAAAAAAAAATTACCTTTACGCCGTAGAAATGTAAACACATATTCTTAATCATCTGAAATCCTTCCGTTGTCTTAACATATTGCGCCTCGCCCTGCACTTGTATCTGGCAGGTGACCTGGAAGTGGTTCTTCTTTTGGCAGACGAATGCCTCATCGATCTGCGAGTAGTTGAAACCTTTGTCCGCTCCAACCACGTAGGAGGGAGTTGGGCTGCAATGATATTGCTTAGTGTATATAGCTGGCTCATATTCCGATGTATATTTTACGACACAAGTAATTTGAAATTATTCTTTTTCCTCTTAATCAAAGAGTACAAATCCACTGATGGACAGGGGCCCCCAATTTCAGGGAGAATTTGCCTTAACCATCACGATTCGCAGGCGGATTTATGATCAGATGTCTCACACCCGGTCGTCTGTGTATTTCACATCCGACGTAAACAATGTAAACAATTTCGCGTAGTCGCCTTCTACGATACTCACGGTAACGGGGCATAATAAAGAGATGATTTCTCTTAGGCCACCACCCGATAATGACAAACTTTTTTAATGATAGAAACTAGTTTTTTTTTACGGATTTTTTTTTAATGTATTGTTATCGTTTAATTAATTTACTTTACATTGATGAGTACTTTTACGTTTCGAGTACTATGCATAGCACCTATGATCACGAGTTTAAATAAAATTAATGATGTTCTTATTTATTTTTCTCTTTTTTAGGGAAAGTACTCTTTTTTATAGGATAGGGTGACAAACAAGTACACAGTCCACCTGATGGTAAGTGGTTGCTGTGACATCTACATCTATCCTCGATTACGAATCAAAAGCTGATATTTAACTCTAGTATTCTGTGAGAGCGTGGTCCTTCCCCGGTCGAGCCGACCTATTCGTGCTACAACTATACTACCAATATAACTGCAGCATGGCTCTACCGCGTATAATATAACGTATCTCAAAAAAATCTTGACACACGGATGACAAAGTAATCCCAAAATGATTCTGTTTACGCATAATGAATCACGGAACAGTAAAGGAGTGTTACTATTAAATACAAACATTAGTACTTTCATTACTCACAGCGGTTTGAGGTTACAGTCATACAGTAAGTGCCAGGAAGCCTGCTGGAAAGGCGCGAATCTGATGCATTGTAATGGTACATCATCACCGGCCTCAGAGCCGTCCACTGATGGCGGCGCTGGTCGCACATTATGGTTGACACTTTCTGGTGATAACGCCGCTGGAGGGTTAAAAAATATATAATTAAAAATACAATGTTAACGTTTTATCAGTGAAGTTCGAAACTACGCCGACGATCTAAATTTTAGTTACAAATGTTTGTTATTCCAGAACCCAGTAGTAACTAAACTCCCATTTTCCAGTTCGTAGCAAAAATATTTGGAAACAAACATACCTATCCTTTCTATGGGTCTAAGCATTCACATGACGTCAGATTTATGGCGTTTAGATTGCTCATAGGGGGTAAATTTGCCATAGTTGTAGTAAGCTAGTAAGGCGACCTCTGCCACGCTATCCGTGAATTTCTGCAATATCAAGGGTCTTCACTCGAACCTAAACAACGTCCACTACCATCTCGAGACGGCGAAGCCGGCCCTACTTTTCTGACCGAGACGCAGGTGTCCTTTCCAGCTGATGCTTCGTATCTCTCCTACCCGGGGTACAAACTGGAACACTCCTTTGTGCCTCGGGCTGGAGTTTGCGTATACGTCAGAGAGGACATCTGTTCTCGACGCCTCGGCAGTCTTGAAGGTTCAGACCTGTCCATCTTTTGGCTACGCGTAGAAAGCGACAAGCCGCGCGTCTACGGGTGCCTCTATAGGTCCCATAGCGGTAATGCCGAAAGAGAACAACTCTTCGACCACGTCCAAATGTCTACATATTCGTTGCTACAGCAGATCTCTTCCGCAGAGATCGTGATCCTCGGCGATTTTAACGCCCACCACGCCGAATGGCTTGCGAGGAGATCTGTTCATGATTTTGCCTTGGCAAATGGTCTGACACATTTGGTTACTTCGCTTACGCGGATTCCAGATGTGGAGGATCATGCACCCTCCCTGTTGGACCTTCTTCTGACCTATCAACTGGACAGATATCAGGATTCGGTCCCGGCGTCGACATATCGAGTGACGTGCAGTTTCGTGGTCACTTGGAAGAGAAGGCCAAAATGGCCTCTAAAAAGTGTGGCGTGCTCAGCAGAGTGGGACAGTATGTCATGCTGGCACACCGCCTTCAACTTTACAAGGCGCAGGTTCGGCCGCACAAGGAATACTGTTCCCATCTATGGGCTGGGGCTCCCCAGTGCCAGCTCCTTCTACTTGACCGCATCTAGCGCAGAGCGGCTCGAATCGTCGACGACCGAGTGCTTTCCGATCGGGTCGATTCACTGGCGCTTTGAAGAGATGTTGCATCTCTTCGCATTTTCTTTCGCACCTACCACGGGGAATGCTCTGATGAATTGTTCGGATTAATCCCAGCTGCCAAATTTCATAAACGCACTACGCGGCAAACCTCCCGATACCATCCACACCATCTAGATGCTTGGCGGTCCACCACTGTACGCTTCACTAGGAGTTTTCACCTTCAAGAAAAGAGCTTACTCCTTTCCAAAAGGCCGGCAACGCACCTGCAATTCCCCTGGTGTTGCAGTTGTTCATGGGCGGCGGTAGCCACTTAACATCAGGTGAGCCGTATGCTCGTTTGCTACCTCTTCTATAAAAAAGTGAAATTTAATAGAACTCTCCTATAAAAAAAAGTTGCATTGATTGACGGGCAGGTTAGTTTTTATTATTATTGAGTTTATCGGGAAGATGCTGCTGTCGATCTTCTCTTTCAGTATCCCTCTGTTTTACGTAATCCACGTATAATGAAATATAATGGATGCTAAAACTCTACCATCAAACGTCAATGCCATTACATATCAGGCGGAAAAACTGAATACTTATGTATATTTATCAAAATTTAGAGATGTTACAGTGAAAAGGATCTATTATTATACATATTAGGATAAACAATGCCATTGCTTTAAACAATATATGCATTATATCTATCTCCCTACTAAATTATTTTGGATAGGGATTAAAATATCTATTCATTCAATATTTATTATCAATTTAGATTAGATAGATTTAGATATCAATTATTGTAAATTTAAGTATAAAATATTTAGTTAAAAGTGTTGTTTATCTGTTCAAGAATTTATTATCATTAAATTAAAAATAATGTACCTGGCTCACATTTAATATCCTGTGAATGTTTCCTCTTCTTCCCACTGGGTTCTTGTAGGTTGGTATACACAGGGGTCAAAGTGTCGTGACCCAAAGCAACCAGCTGTGGGTTTATCATGCCCTGCTCCAGTTCTGGCATTTCGACTCTTATCTGATTGTATCGATTTTGATACGTGATTGGGTCCAGCCCTAAATCGTGACGTACCGTCCTTATCCCCAACTCAACAATGTTGGGGTCTTGTGGTAAAACTACTACGTCATTAAGATTGGTCCTCAGGACTTCATGGTCCAGGTTATCCGACTTAAGCTCCTCGTATATATAGTCACCACTTTGTTGAAGGATCTCGTGAGTGGAAATGGGTTCATGGACCAGCATGTAATCTGCGCCCAGGGCGGTTTGTGTAACCGCTATCGTGTGGGACACTTGTGTCTCTGAAGGACTGTAAGGATTTTCTGATCCGGAGTCTGGTGGACTTTCTGGCAGTTGATGGCCCCTGGAACATAAATATTTATGAATAGCAATCATCATTAAGAGGATTATGAAATGCCGCGGCGCGAGTAGGTATTTTCAAAATTGCTATCTGTTTCACATCGCTCGCTTCGTAACGCCGTTGTGCGATAGAGAGAGTTGCAAATATTATAAGTAACAGCCTATATTTTCTTTTTAAAATATTGTTTTGAGCGATAACGTTTTCACTCGCCTAAACCTATACGAAATGGACAATTTTGGTCTCAATTAGATTTACTATACTTAATTTAGGTCAGTACGTTTTTCTTTTTTAGTAATTCACTTTATTTTAATTAAAAAATTAGTCAAAAATATAGATATTTAGATGCTAATAACTTATATCGCATACGCAATATTTCCTTAAAATAAAAACGTAGGGACCTAGTTTTTCATTATATCCACAACATTTTTAAAAATTATGAAAATTATACTATGTTTACGAAAGGGAAAACGTTATCGCTTTTTGTATGAAAATTTACTTCACAATTTGCTTCACAGTCATCTTAACAAAAATAATCATTTACTCTCTTACCTTGATAATTGTTCCGTGTTATCCAGTTTTTATAAAAAGAACAAATTCATTGCATACTATGAGTTAAGTCTATATAATATATACGTCCCACTCCGGGGAATAGGCATCTCGCTCATTTCTGAGAGGGTTTTAGGGCAAGGAATTGTCCGCCGCGCTGCCCCAGCGTGTTGGCGAACTTCACATGTCTTCGAAATATTGTTTTCTTATTTCTCAGACATGTAGGTTTCCCCACGATGTTTTCCTTCACCACCGAGCACGTGGTAGCTCAGATAGTTAGCGCTCGCTTTAAATTTCACAGTACGCGAGCAAACTGGGTTCGATCCCCGCCGGAACCAATGAAATTGTTAATTGCAATTTTAAGTGCTGATTTACCACGTGCTCGGTGGTGAAGGAAAACATCGTGAGGAAACCTGCATACTATAAGTTAAGTCGTTAAAATACGTACTTTTGTTTATCTAGTTTTAATAGATTACAGCTAAATAGTACTTGGTCCTCCCGTGGTCTCAAGTCGTAAGAGAATCAGTCACCCCAAAGCGTCTTATGGGTGTCATAGCAGGCGACTTTGGGGAAAGACGGGAAAATATCATTGCAGTTAGAGGCAGTGTCAAAGACAGAAGACGTCTGCTACTGAGATCGTAGGTCCTAAGTAAACGTGGTGATTATATTATCTTTGGTCCTATGCTTGGCAAGTGCAAATTAATACTTGGCATAGAATTATAAAATTAATTTTATACTGATATCGTTTCCGACACTTATACGTACCAAATTTTTTTTATAGGATAGGGTAACAAACGAGCACACAGTCCACCTGATGGTAAGTGGTTGCTGCGGCCCATAGACATCTACATCTATCCTCGATTACAAATCGAAACGCATATGCGTTATCAGCCGTGAGGACTAAGATGGAATGCCTAATTTCCAGTAAAAAGGGTCTCCGGTTCTCTACACTCACCATACGAAACACAGCAGCATTAAGCTACTATTTTACGCTGGTATTCTGTGAGATATCATATACATCCTCAGAATCATCCAAGGGTGATCCATCTTTGTATGAAACCTCGATTACAAATCAAAATGCAGATGCGTTGTCACCCGTAAGGACTAAGATGGAATGTCTCGTTTCCAGTAAAAAGGGTCTCCGGTTCTCTACACTCACCATACGAAACACAGCAGCATTAAGCTACTATTTTACGCTGGTATTCTGTGAGACATCATATACATCCTCAGAATCATCCAAGGGTGAACCATCTTTGTATGAAATCCGAGAAATTTGCACACAATTATAATTTCGTTTTAGCTATGTTTGGGTTGAGCGTGTGAAAATAAAGCGAGAAAAAGATATCGCTGTTTCTTTCCTTTACATTGTTTAAGATTGATATTTTAAAAATTAGATACAAATATACATAATTATTATGTCGGAAGGAATTGAAAATGTCAAATCTATGCTATATTTTTTGTTTGCACCTTACAGTAATTATATGCACATTTATTACTCTCAAATCAGCACAATTAATCGACCTATTAATTGATTAAAATTAAATTATTAAATATTAGCGAAATTTTATTAATAATAAATTGTATAATGAATTACAATAAATGAATCAGAATTAAATGAAATTGTGATGAATGCACTATAATAATAATAACTGTATAATGAATTTAAAGAAGAAAAAAACGACATTTGTTTGTTAACATTATTCATGTCAAAAAAATTATTTCATGCATTTAGATTTTCATATTTATTATTGCCTTTTGCTTAAATTTTATTGTCGGTTCAGAATATTAAGTTATAATTTCTAGGTATTTACTTGTGATTGTGTAAGTAAAGTTTTTTTTGAGTCGGTGACTCTGTATATAAGATATTGACTATTAATTAAATGTGCAAACAAAAAGCACAAAACCATCTTACATACCACTTTCCGCAGGTTTCCTACAATAGAACAAGAAAAACTTATGACAATATTGTGATAAGTCTAAACATTTTGAATTTATTGACCGTTGTTAATTGATGAATTGATCATTTATTTGGGTAAAGTTTTCACTACGAGAATTTTGCTAACTTAAAATTACGTTAATAGCCTGAGAAGAATAACTCTCTGACTTTAACATATATAACATATCAATAACCTGCGTGGAAATATTATGTGCACAAGCAATATAAAACATCAATAATTATGTATAGTTTATAAAACAGTCTGTCTTCCAGAAAATAATATTACATAACTATACCTATTTATAGTTTTATTTTATCCCAAATGCTAATGTAAGTATATTCGAGTAATTTTGGTGCAACCTCTCAAATGTATGGGAATTTACTCCATAGGTTTTTAACGCTTGAGTCGAATATACTCGAATATGCCATAAATAAAAAAGTTAAAAGTTTACATAATATAAAATACAAAGGTAAGGAAGTAAAATTTAAGTACACATTTATAAACGTGTGTTTCATGTTTTTAGTTTGGAGATGGCGTTCTTATTTCGGTAGAGAGTAATTGTGTTTTGTGCTCAGAATACCGAAAAATATTCTCTGAACGGACATCATATTCTTGCAAATAAGAGTTATTGTTATATGTTCTATTATATTCTCATTTGATTGGGATGCTATAAATACCAATAAAAATATAATGATAAACTATACTATAAACAAAAAGTTAGAATAAAATACATACTTTATAGAATATAATATGCAATAAAATACAGTTAAATAAAAAGATAAAACACAACCAGACGAAGCCTTAGGCAGAGGAGACCTAACGGCCGAAGGAGTACGAGTAATGCGAACCAACTAGAGGCCTGGCAACTTGGACAGGCCTATGCGTAGCTGGAGATTTAAAAGTGACGAAGTGAGGTAATCTATGACAATCTTTGTAAATTAAAACAATGTTTAAAATTGTATTAATTAAATGTTGTTTATAAAAGGTGTTTTTCCACTGAAGTAGAGCGAAGCCGAGTAATACAAAGTGGCTTTATTTCAACACTTAACCCGTATCTTCAAGCGAAGTGTAGGGTGTCTACCCACTATATGAAATGTCGATTTGGCCAGAGATGTAGGGACTCGATGGATACACAGGACGAGTATTTTCAGTGGATTTGTGAGGTCTGAGTTATGAGTGAAGAACATTCTATGGACCGTGAGGTTTAGCGGCGACACCACTCTCCTCTCTTCTAAATCTGTTTTTACTGAAGCGAAGAGGAGATGAGATGCAGATGTAGTGTATAATGGGTGAAAAATAAAGCAATCACATAGGTTTATTGTGCCTCCGTTAATGTGGAAATCTACCATAACATTTTATGGCTGTGTTGTGTAGAATTTGGCATGTGGAATATTAATATCACGTAGAATATTTGTATAAAACACACATAAATCCAGCACTTTTTGGCTTTACGGGAATATATTACAGTAATGAAAAAAAATGTATTACCCGATTCGGCGTGCATCGAGCGGCTGCGGTGGATAACAGCCTTCGCCGACGGGGGCCATGAATGCCTCCAACTCGTCTATCAGTCCCGGACCTGAAATTACAAGAATTCATTTAATAAACGATCCCAAAGTTACAACTCGGATATAAAATTAGATAAATGAATGACAATTTCAATTCAATTAAAATCAAATTAAATTGAAAAAAAAGTATCCAATGGTCGTATGAATTTTGAACCATTTTTAAATATGTCGTGGTCTACAGAAAATAGTACTCTTAGATAAAGCCTCACTGTTGAATTTAACAAAGAGTATGTAGTATAAAGTAAAGGAATCATACCGTCTAAACTTCTTTTACATTATTTTTATTATATACATTATTATTATTATAATGTAAAATTTTCACCAACGTCACATAAACGCTAATTTATTGAAATATTCCAAAAATTCGCATAAAAAATTCCACAACGGAGACTGGCAGCAGTGTCTAACCTGTAGATGAATCCAGAAGGTTTAAAAAGAAATAAGTAAGATGATTAAATGACAAAATTTAACTGCAAAACTTCACAAATCTTCAGAGAAATAAATATCATTAGATGTCTTTTATTCGCGACTATGTATGTCGATAATGTTTTCTTATATTTAAGCGAATACATATTTCACGAAATATTGAATAAAACTAATTTACGGACTATTATACGTCTATTAAAATTGTTAATATATTTTTTTTTAATTCTTCGCAGCACAAAAATCAAAACAGCTAAATTTAATGCGATAAAATCCCTAAAATTAGTTCTATTCAATACTCATGCAGTAAAAAATAAGAGACGGGTAAAAATTGTTTTCAGAGTTTAGATCACATCGGCGCATCTAACCGTAACATTACATTGGAGAATGCTAGAAAATACGCGCGAATTAATATTGTCAATTATTTTTAGGAATGTTATATCACGATGAGTCCACCAATACGTACTGAAGTAGCGTGACGGACTAATTGCTAAATAGCCTCCTTAAGAAATGAGAGAAGGTCTGTGGGCAGAAACGGGGCATATAAGCTGTAACGTTGACTTTTTACACGATAAACTTTTAGCGAAAAAGCAATGAACTTTCGTTTGATATCTTAATATGATAAACACATATCAACGGATCTGTTTCGCAAATATCTTAGATTAGATGCATTCCCTCATTACAGCCTATTAAAGCCCACAGCTGAACACAGGCCCACTCTATAGATTACCTCATAAAGACAATAACTGTCATTGTCACAGTCATCACTCTCGGCAAGCGGGCTGGCTACCACAGTGTTCTATTTTCTACTAATTATTAGGAAAACGCTGCTGCCCATATCCTAGTTTGCTTCCCTTTGTCGCCTCTTACGACACACACGGGACGATATTAGAATAGAATAGCATAGAATTATTTTTATTCAATATTGATTACATGTAATTCTTATTGAAAGTATTTTTTTACTTTACCACTATTTCGGAGAAAAAACCTCAGGCCTGCGAAGAACCACTGAGCTACCACGGCTCGCTCCGTTAACGCTCGCTGTAAATATAACAGAACGCGAGAGTAACCCGGGTTAGAACCCCGCCGGCACCAATGAAATTGTTAATTGCAATTTTAAGTGCTGATTTACCACTTGCTCGGCGGTGAAGGAAAACATCGTGAGGAAACCTGCATGTCCGAGGAATAAGAAAAAAAAATATTTCGAAGACATGTGAAGTTCGTCAACACGCATTTGGGCAGCGCGGCGGACACTTCCATGCCCTAAACCCTCTCAGAAATGAGGGGAGGCCTGAGCCCAGCAGTGGGACGTATATAGGCCGTAACTTTACTTTACTTTACTGCGAAGAACCGGCAAGAAACCCAGCGGGACTTATTAAAAAAAGTATAACTTACAATTTTAGCTTAATAAATATTTTAAACCTTTTGATAGATAAGGTCTGCATATTTTCTGGGACTTTGTTGTAAAAGCGTGCACATTGTCCCATTAAGGAATTACTGACTGAAGTCGAGTAACTGTTATAACTAACTTGTGATTGTTCCTAGTATTTATGGAATGTACATTATTATTTTTAATACATCATTATTTTTAATAAAACTATTTTTGTTTTTGTGGAAATACATTAAAATTTCGAATAAATATTGAGAGGCCAAAGTTAATATATTTATTTCTTTAAATTTTTTTAAGGGATTCCTTCGGACCTAGGTTATAAATTGCTCTTATGGTTCTCTTTTGCAAAACAAAGATAGTTTCAATGTTAGTCACATTACCCCATTGCAAGATTTCATGACATTATGCTATAGAAATAACTAAAACAAACTAATCTAGCCGTTTTAACACATGTAGGACCTCTAATCTTTTTTACAGCATATGCTGTAAAAAAGATTAGTAAGTTTGCTAGCTAGTTTAGATATACGAGGGCCCCATTGAAGCTTTGCGTCAACTGTAACTCTGAGAACAACAGTGAATTCAACAAGGCTCAGCTCCTCCCCGTTTAAAACCACACTGGTATTCCCCTTCTTAACATAAGGTGTGGTGAATTTAGTACATTTCGTTTTATTACCGTTTAAAACCTGACGTTAAACCAGTGACCTTTTGATATAGCATTATTCACTTTGTCTCATTTGATATTTGCCTTTTAAGACGTAAAATTTCACTGAAATTTCATCAGCAAATAAAACTGTATTATGGTTCTATACCAAGTAAGGTAAGTCATTAACATAAACTAAGAACAAGAGGGGCCAAGAATTGAGCCCTGAGGGACACCCATTAATACTACTCTACTACTACTCTAATAATAATAACTACTCCCATTAAAAACAACTATTTGCGTTAGATATGCAACTATTATTTAGGTGTGCAAAAATAAGTTGGAGTGCTACGTTTTTTACACCATAATGACGTAAGCTTCCTGATTATTGTCTCATGTTGAATGCAGTCGAAAGACTTAACAGGTCACAAAATATACCCAAACCATCCTCTGAATTCTCCCATGCACAGAAAATATGTTTAATCAGCTCAACAAGAGGTAATAGGTTCTTACGACGACACTAAACGGTCAATACTAGGTTAAATACTAAAAAAATACAACACCTACGAGTTACACATTCTTCTTATAATCAACTCGTAGAAGTTTACTGTGGGAGATAAGCCTCTCGCGTTGTTGGGACAGTTCCCATGTTAGACACGCTCGGCAGGACGATTGGCGGTCGTAGTACAAAACACCACGTACAGTTTTAACGATCCTACCTGCCGTCGGTTTGAGCACGTTGGTCGACAATAGAAATCAATACAATAAATTCATAGTCATGACTATTTTTATGAGAATCATCACAGCTCATGATTAATTCGTGTTAAGTTTTTTAAATACTAATTATCTATAAATAAACCAATAATATATTATTGTTTTATTAATATTAATTACAAATAGGTTTCGAGTTTAGGTAGACTATTAAACTTTAATATATTTATATATTCATAAGCTTCTGAACTAGTAGGTGATTTTATTCCAAGCCGAACAAGAGCAATAAAATTTTCCATATTGTTCATCACGGTAATATCACCGAGTTTAAACGAAATAAATTTTAGCAAATGGCAGTAGCTTCAATCGTAGTTAGTTATGAAATATGGTCCAAAGTGGATATTTTATTAATTTAACAGAGAATAGGCTAGGTTGAATACGCCTGAAGAGAACCTAGTTATTAATTAAACAAGCTCAATGGTTGAGACAGTAATAAAACAACCTGACTAGGTAAAACAATTTATTGAAAAAAACAAACACAAATTGTTCATACTCTATGTCACTTATATAACTGAAATGAATCTAACGACATCCTCTAGGTTATAATCCATCAGGTTTGGCCGACAGAGTGTGCCAAATAAATAGACACATACATATTCACACACTCAAAACTACCATTCTTTTGGTAAAAATAAAGTCCTTAATATACAACCTTATAAATAGACCGATGGATATTAAGCGTAATTAAATTTCTCGATAGACTTAAAAACTGCTAAACTCTTACTCGCAGCTAAAAATATATAGTTTATACTATTGAGGAGACCGTCCTGAATTAAAAACGAAGAATTCTTAATTATATTAATTCATCAATTCATTACAGTCTATTAAAAGACCACTGCTTAACAAAGGCTTTTACCAAAGATTATTTTATAGAATAAGTGTGACTATTTTATAGAATAAGTGTGACACGTGTACACAGTCCACCTGATGGTAAGAATTTGCTGTAGATCAAAGACATCTACATTTATCTCCGATTAAGAATAAAAATTCAGAATGCGTTGTCACCTCTGAGAACTATGGAATGACTCGTTTACAGTACACTCCGGTTCCAACAGAGCAGCATTAAGCTGCTATTTTACGCTGGTATCCTGTGTGAGCGTGGTCCTATTGCCTTGTATGGCGGATATTGCCCTACTACGGTAAACTTGGTAGGCGGGTTGCCAGCCGCAGTATTTTTTATTATTTTCTATTGTTATTAGGAAAATGTCGCTGCGCATGAGATATTAAATTTCCCTCCGTAGTTTTATGAAATCCAGGAATAATAATATGGAGTCATAGATATTCTTACGGCGCCACTACATAGCGCAATTATATATATATATATATATATATATATATATATATATATATATATATATATATATATATATATATATATATATTATTTTCATACGTGGTAGAGCCACGCGCAGCTATATTATCGTTGTAGCATGAATGGGTCGGCTCGACCGGGGAAGGACCACGCTTTCACAGAATACCAGCGTAAAATAGCAGCTTAATGCTGCTCTGTTTCGATTGGTGAGTGTGGAGATCCGGAGACCCTTTTTACTGAAAACAAGGCATTCCATCTTAGCCCTCACGGGTGATAACTCATCTGCATTTTGATTCTTAAGCAAGGATAAATGTAGTTGTCTATGGGCCACAGCATCCACTTACCATCAGTTAGACTGTGTGCTCGTTCGTCACCCTTGTTCTATAAAATAAAATAAAATGTGTTATCATACATTAAATAAAGTCGTAATTAGTTTCATAAATAATATCAAGCGATATTGTAATGCACATAATAA